TCTTTCATCTGAATCAAAAGTTCCAGCTAGTGTAAGGTGGTACTGAGTTGGTCATATCAAAAGTAACTTATGATACTGAGGTGAATGTCAATGCCCATGGATATTGTACATGTATGTTTTCCAACAGTTTCTATGTTATTTAACTTAAATCTGCCATTGCTAAAGTAGTTTTTCAGCTGCGTGTTTTCTAAACTTGACCTTTATTAAAGTACATTTCTCTCTTATAAATGTAGAAATGTTGGGAAATTACCAGGAAGTAGCTACAGCATTTACATGTACAATTACAGAAGGTATTTTTTACTGGCTTTTATTAAGTCACTGAGTAAATATAAACACACTTGCAATTTCCGGGTGATTAATTTTACATCAAATAATGGGATATACATGTAGTATATTTACATTACCGGATCTTATCACAGGCTCTTATTCTATAAATTGAATTCGATGAACTGTAATGTCATGGTAACTAATAAATACATGTAAACTCTGTAATATTCTTTGAAATTTCTACTGTTCTTATTATTTGAATCTTTCTACAACACAATTTTTGTTACACAAATAGAAGGTTTCAATATTTATAAGTATGTGTGAAATTTTCTCAAAATGCTTTTCATGCAACAGTTTTGGTCTAATTTAAAACTAGTTACTAGAACTGGGTTAATTAATGGTAATGTGTAATTATAATGCATTGTAATCATTACATATTTTCATAGTAATGTGATGCAATATGTAATGGACTATCTTTCAATTACATGTAATGGTAATATAATGCATTACTTACATAAATGTCATTAATGATCATTACCTTTTAAGTACATTGCAATTACCTATCGTATATTAATCTTTATTATTATTATTATTTAGACTGAAACAAATCATTGCCACTGGCAGGTGATGTTTTAATTAATATTACATTCTTGAAATTAAAATCTTACTTATTTCTTTTTTTCCAAATTTTAATTTATTCAATGGTGATTGATAGACATACTAGAGAATTGTTTTAATAGAAAACTTCTTGACAAGACAATTTTAAAATCAATTAAGAAAGCTAGAAAAAAAATATAAAAAAAATCATTAAGTTAATTATGTTCAAACAGAGCCCCTTAATGTGTCCGCTATGAGGCCCCCAGTGGGTCCAGAGCGAAGCCCTGATGCATGCCCAGGGGGCATAGCTCCCATAAGTCTTGAGTTTTTTTTCAAATATTTCATTTGTTTTCTTGCAAAAAATCCACATGCCATTTCGCTTCTCTTTAGAAAATACCCCCCCCCCCAAAAAAAAAAAAAAACCACTAAGTTAATTATGTTCAAAAATAGAGCTTCATAACATACAGGTGACATTAGTATACACTACCGAGACCCTCCATTTTTCAGTTACATAGAAACTACTACAGTCAAACTTGTCATAGCGGTCACATTTATCCAGCGGTCACCTGTCCTATGCGGTCATTTTATTTCCTCCCAATGAATTTTCCTAAATAATGTAACTCTATTAAGTGGTCACCTGCGTAACGCAGTCAGCAGTCATCAAATTTCATGTAAAATCACCGTTTTACCTCGTATATAGCGGCCATTTCGTCCAATCCCAGATCTAGACCAGATCAGACCAGATCTAGAGTCAGGTGACTCCCAATTTTTGTCACTAATGTAAATAATTAGTCTAGTATGGCGAGATCATGGGAAAATAATTAGCCTAATTAAAACCGTTTAAAATATTGGATAATTTATTTATTTTGTTTAAAGAAAACTCAAACAAGGGTGTTAATGACCGAAATGGTTATCAGGAAAATGAACTTATGAAAATCTTACATTATGGAATTGGAATCTGGTTTAAAAAATTCTAAGTGATATTAAAAAAACAATGCATCCTTATTTATCTATTAATGGGTACAATATTTAGGTGTTTCCTAATTATTAGTTCACATTTGGCATGCCCAACTCTGATAGGTGTTACTGCATGTGTAAATGCATGGCAGGCAGTTTTTAACACCTAGGAAACGTTTTATTTGTAGAAACCCTAAAACTGTTTTGTATACACAATGTGTCCTGATTATCTTGTGATTTTCAACTAGGTAAGACGACGCTTCATTGCTCATAACACCTTTGAATTTGATATCAATTTGTATTGTGCACTGCTTTGATCAACTGAGAGTACATGACTTGTCTGTTTATTACGCAACGATTTATGTATTTTTAAACATACAATTGTTAATTTTATGTAACTAAACGTGTTTTTTTAAAGATGCAGTTTAGATAAAAATACATTATATTTAATTCATGGCATTGCATGATAATTTCTTATCGTAAAAGAAAGTTTACGATACTAATATCGTAAACTAATATACTTTTTTTGTTATCAAATTTAGCTTGAACTTAATCTTGAGACTATTAGAATTTATTTAAAAAAAAAACTTAGTGAGACCATTGATGTCAAATACATATCCTTCTTTAATATTCTATGATGTAGTATTGTAAAACATCAAACTAACATAAATTGGAAAAGAATTTTCTTGAAAAAGATGAACCTCTCTTCGAAGGTCACCTCTCTATAAAGGTCACTTTTAATGATTCCCGAAGGTGAGTGCTTAATACAGGTTTGACTATACAGTATATATTTTTTCAACAACTCGATTTTTCTTTTTTACTAAGTTCCTTCTTATGAAATGGACTTGTAAGCAAGATATTGATGCCTTTGTTTTTATACTTAATTTGACTGCGGTTTACTCCGTCTACTTTACCAATATATAGAGCTCACGACAAGGGATGTATACTCCTCCTCAACACCAGTTCCATCCTCGGGAATTTCAGGAGTCCGTGTTTAAAGCACTGTTCACAGATTTTTAGTTTTTTTTTTTTTTTTTTTTTTTTAGATCATCACTGCTCATCAATTTCACCTATTTCATACTAGATTAGTGTGATTTACTAAAGAACACAAAGACCTTTGAGAAACATAAAGGTATTATCCATCATTCATTTACTGTAGATGGATAGTCACCTTTCTAGACACTGGTAATTATGATCTTTACGTGTATAAAATTATATCTTTATTAATGTATGTCAAGCGTATCAGATGAGCTAATTTATTTAATCAAGACATACATGACAATGCTATCAGTCAATTATGGTCAAGCCCATCATCAAACACTTTTACTCTGGTCAATATAAAACTTTATAAAATTAAGATATATTAAGATAAACATTCTCTTAATATAAATTTCACAGAGATTTTCAACATTTAGACTATTGTGAACTGCCTGTGTTTGTAAAGCGTATTATTATAATTGAAGAGGAACTTGGAATTAATTCTGCAAGTGGTAATTCAACTTATACTCATCGTTTCCTTTCTAAGGAGGAAATTCTTCAAAATTATACATCAGTTTTTAGTATCTTTAATACTCCCAACAACCCAACTGAACTTGAATTTCGATACCATACCTATACTGGATATCTAAACTAAATAAAAATCTTTGCAAAGATACATAGTGGGTTCTAGTAAATGTTCTTACAAGCCTCTTTCTCTACTGCTCACAAAAAATTAGCAGCAGTGAATTAACAACTTCGGGAGTATTGTACAATAACATATTTGAGAAGAGGTTTTAATCAGATATAGATACTAAAAAAACCCCAAGGAACTTTTAGAAAATTTGAAATCCCAAAATTTTACCACAATCAATAGCATCAAAATGAACGACTTTTCAAATCTTTCCCTCGAAAAATTAAAGACCAGGCTTTTTCAATAAAAATGGAACTCGTAAATTTACATACTTTGTCATTGGTCATCTGCAAACTTATTGTTATTAATCATTCTGATTCCACACACAAGTACTCCGAAGTTAAAAGAATGCTTTTGTTTCTGATTGACAATATCTATGTATGTTTTGAAGATCAGGTCTTTCAACAATCTGTTAGAATTCCCAGGAGTACTACTTGCGCCCCGTTATTAGCAGTTCTGTTTTTGTATTCATATTAGGCAGAATTTATTCAAAAACTTCTACATAAAAAGACGTCTTTTGCCGTCGATTTACTCAACAATTTTCAAATTTTATTTCTGTATTGGTTCGATACATATATTTCTTTCAATTGCACTTGACATTAAAATTGAAGTCTATGGGAAGCACATGCGTTATTAAGATATTGTAAAAAAGTAATTTAAACTTCAATACAAATATCTTGGTGAAAATATGCATAAACTCTCTCTTTATCAAAATATGAAATAAATCATTTACCACAGATATTTTGACTAAATTAAATATTCTTCTTTTCATCAATGGCAGATAACTCCACAAAAAGGTTTAAAGTGCAAAATGGCCGGCTTCTCATATGTTATAAGTCACGTGAATTTGGTTCACTTCACTTTCATCGTTATTTAGCAATATACATTTAGCTAGTTTAAAATGATAAAAAATTGTCCAATATCCCTTCATTAAACATTAAATACCTTAATGCATAAAAAATATATAAAATAGAAAGTTTATCAAAAGAAACATTTATTACAATAAACTACAATAATATTCAAATCAAAAATTTTAATATATATATATATATATATATATATCTATCTATCTATCTATCTATCTATCTATCTATCTATATATATATATATATATATATATATATATATATATATATATATATATATATATATATATATATATAAACATGAATTAGAAGAAAAACTTTACATTAAAATATCCAAGAATTGAACTATTTCTGATTATATTCTAGGACGTATTTTATCAACGAAATCTAACTCATTCTGCGATTTTCTCTTTTGAAGTAAAACAATGCATCTCATCATTTTCTTTTCAAAAATCATCAAATTTATCATTTGTTCTCATCAATAAGGTTTAAGTAATTGAAACTTGACAAATAATTAAATCTTGTAGAAAAAGTCTTTATGTCAAATCAGCGACTTCTGTGCAATTGCAACTACATGTATTGTACTTTCAGAGTACATAATTAAAAAAAAAATCTAGCTAAAAGATATGAAATTCTTTGTTCAGTAAATCTAAGGGCTACCCGGTTTTGATACGGTTTTCTGCCTCTAGTTTTATCATGCGTTTGTTTGGTTTACCAGTGTCGAGCATGGGAAAAGAGTCAAATTGTAAGAAATATGTAGGTTTTTCGCCAAGTCCATCAGCAGATTGTCTGACCTCGAAATTCTCGTCGCAGAAACGCTTGACGTCAGTCACTGTGACGCCAGATTCCTTTTCTGGAACAAAACACAGACAAACCTCCTCATACAGGCGCTTATCAGGGACAGGAACAACTGCAACGTGGAGAAGGCCACCCATTTGGATGACTGTATCCTCCACTGCATCCGGCATGATTTTCCTAGTACCACGAGAGATAATATCTTTGATCCGCCCCTGAATGATAACTCTGTCATCCTCGGTAACGATGGCTGTGTCACCAGAGCGAAACCATCTGTTTCCGAGGAAAGATGTTTTGTTTACTTCTTCATTCTTGAAATATCCTCTAAAAACCATTCGGCTTCTAATACATAGCTCTCCAGGCATTCCTCGTGGAACAACACTCCCATTTTCATCAATGACCTTGAGTTCTACTCCTCCACAAGGACTACCAACATCTCCAATTTCTAGTGTGTCACCTTCATTTAAAGGTGATCCCATGGTTACAAACCCTGCTTCAGTAGATCCATATACAACCACAAATTGTTTAGTAAATATATTAACAACTTGCGTGTAATAATCATCGATTATTTGACCTCCAGACATGATTATATCCGTCTTAAAGTCGTCTTCGTAATAATCTTTCATGCTAATTAAGTCGCCTAGGAAATATGGCATTAACAAGGCTTTCGAACATTTTTCTTCTTTAATTATGTTCCAAACTGCCATGACGTCAGAGCCTCTGATAGCAACTGAAGAATCAGTGAAGACCCTAGTCAGACCGTTGCTGATTTGTGTAACAGGCGATCCACCAACCCAGCCAAATGGTCTGTCGTTGTAAGTTTTTTCTTGAATCGAGGCTTCTGTTGGATTTACCTCAAATAATTCAATGTTGCCGATGTCAAAATGAGAGTGCGAGACCATTTTTGGTTTACCAGTACTTCCGGATGTTGTAAAAATTAAGATTTCGTCTTCAGGGTAAAGTGTTGGAAGTTTAATATCAGAGTCCTCCATTTTCAGAATTTCGGGCAGATCACGGTAACTTTTAATTCCGTCAACTTTTCTGAGAAACAAAATTGTCGAATCATTAGAATCAACATCTTTATAGTCCCTTGATGGTCGTCGGCGGCGAAAGAGCGCTAAAAGCTGAAATATGGAATCAAGATACGCTTCTCCTTTGCCTGGATCAATCAGGAAAGCTTTGCAGTCAGCCTCTCGAAAGATATCCCAGAGATCCCTGGCGTCAGTGACGCTAAATGTCACGTGCACAGCAACACCTCCCGCCAAAATGATAGCTAGCTCTCCGATAACCCATTCCAAGGTATTCGGACCAAACAAAGCAATCTTATCTCCCTTCTTAATCCCTTTCTTAACGAGAAACTTAGCTAACTTGGAGGCTTCTTCGTTTAGATCTTTATACGTCAGTGCTTCTCGGGATCCGTCAATGCCTCGATGAATTAATATTTCATGGTCGGGAAATCTTCTTGTATTCCTCTCTATAAGTTCTGTTATTGTACGGTATCTGTAGGGCTTTTCTCTTGGTTTTGAGAGGTAGCTAAATTCCGACGACATTGTATAAGCCCTAGAAAAATTCAGCTGTTTTAGAAATTCACTTTATCAATGAAATACTGTCCCTTTATTCGTAGCATTCTAGACCTTATTTAACTTTATCGAGATTTCATTTCACACGCTTATTTGAGCGTAACAGTTTTGACATGTATATTAATAAAAAGGAAATTGTAAATTAAAAGGACATTTGTAATAGCCTCAGAAAATTTTCATAATTTTGAACAAACTATCATTTTAGGGCTGTTATTTTTCTTACAAATTTTCTTGTAACAATAAACTAGTATTTACTCAAAAAGTAACACTAAAGCTCAATTTGTACCTATATATAGTTACTAATCTTCCGAATGTCGGTACTTACATGTATTTAGATTTAATTCATAATTTTTCTAAGGTTTTTATCATAAACAACTTTTGAAAATAGAAAACAATTATTGAAATTCCCTTTTCTCATAAAATACTTAAAATACTATTCGTTTTAAACATTGAAAGATTAATGGTATCACGTACCTCTTGCCCGTTCGATGGAATGGCCTCTTAAAAATACCTGACAAGGAGTCGACTGACACTTTATCAACTGAACATGACAATTGGTTCCAGGTCAGTTAATACGGGAGATCTGTAGGTCCCTGAATTTGTCAACTGGACAGGCGGGTTTACAACACTATTTGCAAACAGGGAAGATTCTACATATATAAGGATGACACGATATCAATGGTTCTGTGACAGCAATGCCAGTATATCCTTAGGGACTTTTTTTTTCTTATTTTAACAAACATTCTAAATGTCTTTATTTGCGGTAGACACATATTATTATACTCTACTTTTAAAAGACTCGATCATTCATCATAACTGGTGCTATTTTGCTAACTGGAATCTTGCTCGTAAATGACAACAACAGACACTTGGAATATGGATCATACACACACACTCTTTCCAGTTTTTTTTTTTAATTAAATCAGGGATCGACACACTTTTTTCCGATTCGTGTATTCTAATATGCATTACATATTATCGATATCATAACTGTAGGCCTTTTATCTCTATTAACTGTTTTTAAATATCTCGTTTTCGACTGATACATTAAGCAGATAAGAGAAAATGTGATAACAACTGGCATGTAACTTAATTAGTGTTTACTAAAATTATGATGTATGAATGTGTTACGGTGTAAAATACGACTTTTCGGACATATTATAAATTACTGTGTAAATTAACTTTTCGGACTTTGTGTAAATTGTTATAAAAACTTTTCGTATATTTCGGCAAATGTGACAAATTCTATAAATTCCGCACAGCTTTAATCCTACATGAGGCACAGTCAGAGATGGACAGTTAATCTCTTAATTGACTTCTTTTTATATTTATTGACACTTAATCTTTCATCTACTTTAATTCTATTATATACATGCCGCTAAAATGTACCAGTCGCTCAATAACTGTTTGATAATTGATTTCTTTATACATTTTGTTAATCCTTTTTTTTTTGGTCCTATCTTTGTTCAGTATGTATGTTTTGTTGTTGAAAAATTATAGGCAGTTGGAATCAGACCTTCGGTGCTGATACATCCCAAACTCATGTAAAAGTATATTCCATGCTGATTCTATATAAAAGTACTAAAACTATAACGCGTGTTGGCTTATTGGAGGTTTTATGAATCTGGGTTCAACAATAAGAGGAAAACTCACCGGTTGACCCAGAATTAGAATTTGACGGACAAATTCATACCGTAATAAATGCGTCGTCTCGTACAGGAGCATGTTCGTAAACAAATTTAATGTTTCATGAATATTCATAGCAGACTTCTTCGTTGAAATTTTTCTGGACGACAGAACTTGTATGTGACTTCTAGTTTGCTTGATCTATTTATTTGCAATTATATCTCTTCATATATACGTATTATTTTTAGGTGGAAACAATATAATTTCTTTAACTAAACTGCCTTTTGTAAATGAGATCAATGTAAATTTCAATTGTAATAAATCATATGAACTTTGAAACATTACAGGCACTGGTTGACTTTCTTTATACATCAAGTGTAAATTGTTCAAAATTCTAGAACTGCGTTGTAATGTCCAAGATTTTATACTGAAAGGAAAAAAAACGCAGGGTAACATTTTTGACTCCGTGGCCGAAATTGGTCAGATGTATAGGTTACTGTGTACTAAAATCGGTGTTCAAAATTACTCAACCGTGAAATTTATGACGTCACGTACATGGAAAGTGGTGAAAAAACCAAAAACACGTGCATATTGATGATGACAAGATTGTTAACACATTTTATAGCACCACTCGATGCACTGGAAGTATATACATTGTTTTTCCATATTTACAGTCAATATGAATTTCTTGCAATCATGGTACGGCTGACGAAAGTTTCATTGGTCAAGGATTTGAGTTGCCTTAGGAAGAAAAAGGCAACAGCATGTTGCTGTGCAGTTTGCTAAGAGATAAATTTAATTTTTGAGAATTCAGAGGACATGAACTACGACGCTTCACGCCTGCATATTTCATGAAGCGCGTTGGCGATTCATGATAAATATACAGGTGTGAAGCGTTGTAGTTCATGTACCTCATGAAATCAAAATTAAATATATTCATATCTTATATTTACATTATTTTTTTGATGACTTGCCACAAATTTTTGTCATTCAACGATCATTTTTGAAAAAGAAAAAAATGCACTATTTTTTTTACTTCACAACTTTTTTTTACAGCATTACCACTGAAACTGATTTAAACGAAGTAGGCAATCATAGTCGTTATATTCACCCTAAAACTGAAAGAAACCGATTGCTTTACTTTGGTCCGTGAGCTCCTCAATTTTACATCGGTTTTACTCTCACTCGCGCACGTATGGATCATATGCCTAATATTTCAGCATGTTTTTCCGCGGGAAAATGTAGCCAGAGTTTTTCAAGACTTTCTCGCAAACATTCACATTTACCAAATCAACTGGCCTCCGTTAATTCTATCTTTTTCTCCAATTGAAAATCTTACGGACTAACTGGACGGTAGGGTTTGAAGGCGTCGGAATGCCCCAGCTACTCTCGACCAACCAAGGGCTGCCCTTTCGGAAGGGTTGAATAATATCCCTATGAGAAAGATTAATGTACTGATAAACTTCATATAGAGGAGAATCAAGTGTGTGACAGATGCACGAGGTAGAAAATGAGAATTTTTATTTTCACTTTTGGGGGTACCGTCATATGAATTTCAATAACTCATGAACACATGATGAAATATCAGTCAAAATCAAATGAAATTTTGCTAACTTGTCAATGGCGGATCCAGGGCCGGCGCGCTGGGAGTGCCCCCCCCCCCCCACCCCGTTCGAATTTTTTTGTATGTAAAACTTATAATGTCCATTATCTTAAAATCAAGGAAAAAACTCTCTTATTTGTAAGAGTTTGTCATGCAGCTCCCGGACCCCCACCAGCGCCTTGCCCACTGCATGGGGGGCTTCGATGCAGCCCATAGACCCCCTGCCCTCTACTGCGCCCCCCCCCCCCCCTTTACAATATTCCTGGATCCGCCACTGCTTGTTGATTAAAGACGGGTTTAAATGTTTAAATGTTAGATAACAAACTGGAAAATACGTTCGAAATAATAGCATCAATTCACTTCATAAGTTTATCCTGCGTTTCTTTTTCCATACAGTATATTATCATCATCGTCATCATATTTTTGGTATCATGTCATCATACATAAAACAAATACACATAATTATATATAATCCTTTGAAAGACAATATTTCGGAAACAAGAACTTTATAAATAAATAAATATTCAGTTAACTACATTTTTAGAAATATAATTCCATTGTGACTAGATGATACATGTACCAGGATAACCCATTAAAGCTCGAGAGCATTTCCAATGGGGTCCTATCTTAAATTTATAGCATAATAATGCAATTTTTCATCATTAAAGCACTATGAAAATTGTTTGGCCCTATAATTTTAGCACTGCAGGGGTGTGCAATTAAAAAAATCAAGTACTAGCCCACGGGCTAGTGGCAGCAATAAAGTTACTAGCCCCAAGTAAAAAGTTACTAGCCCAAATGTAAGGGGGTGGGGGTGGGGGGTTAACAACTACATGTAATATTGAAAAAAAATAGATTATTGTTGAAAAAATCAGGGTTTTAGGGTCATTTTCTTTAAAATTAAAGTTTAATTCTCACTAGTTAAATTGAATCATGTATAAATAAATTATTATGATAGAAAATAAATTCGAATTAAAATAAATTATTTTCCCCTTTTCTGAGCACTGCACTAGCTCATCTAAAACGAAGTTAAATCAATTTTTTTTCATCCTAAATTATTGAAAACAATGGAAATATATTTTTTGTAAATCACATAACACTTATCTTTCAGTTGATTGAGTGATCGTAAATAATTTAATGAGATATCTGCCTTTATTTTAAATAAACAGAGGAATAGAGGAAATTCGGATTAAAAAAAACTGATCGTTTTTTTGGAAGTAAATAAGTCAGGAAGTGCTGCAAAATGGATAAGATTATGGAGATTTACGAACAGTTGGGGCATGCTGCCTGGAAACTTTTCATTGGTTGGGAATTTAATGGCAAAAATGAGTGAAAATACCGGAAGTGATTTTCATATATTACATTTGGTATTTTTAATTTTTACTAGCCCAAGGGGCTACCTGCATGCAGAAAACCACTAGCCCGACCCCCAAAAATGGTAGCCCCGGGCGTCGGGCGATGCTAATTGCACACCCCTGCACTGTGTAACTTAAACATCAAACTGGATTTAAGTATGACAACACTGATAGTATCAATATAATAATAAAATATGTTTTATAAATTATTAGTGAAACGTTCTAAAACGCCCTTTTGTAAGCTAAAACTCTTAACTTGTTTCTTAAAAGTACTCCTTCCTTTAGCATATTTTATAGAAGCTGGTAAAAAAAGTCCTGTCCTTAATGCCATTATAATAAAAAGTATCTGCTGGACATGCTTTCACATGAGGTATAAAAAAAAAAAATCATTAGAGGATGCTCTATAGTGTTGCGTGTAGACACAACTGGTCTTAGAGTGAAATTTTCACCTAGATCAGATGGCGCACAGCCATGGTAGATGTTATACACATGGTTTAATCTGAGTTGTCGTACCCGGTCTTCTATATTTAAAAAAATATTGAACTAAGCACTTTACAGTTTATGGAATGTGAAGGAGATAAATTTAGTATATATCTTACCATTTTGCTTTGACATATTTGTAATTTCTTTTTCGAACTCTTTGTCAAACCTGCATACCATGCAAGCAGGCATACTAGTAATCTAAATGACATTAAAAAAGCAACTTGTTGTTAATTTTTTGTATAATGGACTCAATAATAAATTCTCCACTCAAACACTGATCAATAAAAACTCCTAAATATACAGTGTATAACTTTTTCCATAGAATGTATTGTATGTCCATTACACTCAATGTGAAAGTCTTGAACACTTGTAAGCTTCTTTCTTGATCCAAATAAAATACATTCCGTTTTCCCCAGGTGTAGAGATAATTTATTATCTATTAGCCAATTTGAACATTGTTTTAAAACAGTACTAAGTTTTTCTGAAATAAAATCTACATTTCTATGAGAAAATAAGATTGCACTATCATCAGCATATGAAATAAGTTTGCAGTCAGGATCAACACTGGAAGCCATATCATTGACATAGATTAAAAATAGTAGAGGGCCTAAAATACTGCCTTGTGGTGCCCCACATTTTACAGTACCTGGGTCAGACATAATATTTTCATAATGCATATTATTTAATTCAATGCTGCTTTACAAACTCCCCAAAAATTTCAAGCTTTAATAACCTTTAAATTTTTATTGCACATACATGTATCACACATTTGACAGCATTTTTACACTTCAATTTTATGTTACATGTATGAATGGTTGATGATTAATTATCCTCCAGTAAAGAAGTTGGTATAATTTTTCCCACTTTATCCTTCTTTGTGTTAATTTTTTCAAGTTTCCCTTCATTAATTTCTCTCTGTTTCTGTGATTTCTTCTGTCTCACTGGTTTGGTTTTCCCTTTTATTTCTTTTTCCCACTGTTTTCTATACATTGTATAAAGTCTCATAGTAGCTTGAGCATCTTGTACCTAAAATTATAATATGAAAAAAAAAAATTACTTATTAATATGTACAATATTTATAATCTATTTCTATATACCGGGTAATCAACAATATGAAACTCACTTAAATGGATTTGTGAAAAAGTATCAAACAGATTTGCAATTTCCAAAGAGGTATGTTCAAGTGAAAATGTGTTGTGAGACCTATGCAAGCAAGTTAAGGGGGCCGACTGAGGTTTTCAATGCGCAATACTTTGCGCAACATAGTAAAATAAAGCATATTTACTCTTTTAAAGCAACTATTTTTACATAATTTATAAAAAATAACAAATTTAGGAAATATGAGGTTAAAAAATCTAATTAAGTTTTAAATAACTGATTTTTTTAACGATTTTTCAAATGATGGGTAGAAAGACGTTGTAATAGTGTGTTTTTGACATTATGAATAACCGAAGTTCTTTAAGCGGGTCATTAATTATGCCATAAAATAAAAAGTATAAAATATATGCTCTTGAAACTTTAAACATAGGAAATTGAGAATCTAGCAATCATTGGTATTATTTTTTAAGTAAATCCGTGGTATCTGTCATGTTTTGTTGTACTCCATAAAAACCGGAAAATATCATGGATTTTGACATTTTGAGATGCCCCCTCTGGAAACTAGATGGTAGAATTTTGTGTTTCTTTTACAGAATGTACAATATAGTATTACTCATCAAATAATAAAATTTGAGCAAAAAGTCTATAGTAGTATTTGTATGATTTGCTCCGAAGTGCGAAAAAATGGTATTTTCCTATATAATCCTATAGTAAATGTACCTGTATTTTGAGACGGTCCCTCAAAAATAACCAGACGGTAGATTTTCACTAAACTTGGCATGTAAACTGAAGTCAATGTAAGGTATATATGGTATAAAATTAAAGAGTTTCTCTATAGTAGTTTTCACACAATAAAACCCCAGTCGGCTCCCTTAAGACTAGGTACAAACGTTTCAGCTGATTAAAACATTTAAGAGGGATTATACACTCACTTTCTTAAATATACCTAGTATCCCTGATATGTTATAGCAAATACACATGATGACATTTTTCATTACTGTTTGGGGTAATGACAAATCAGCTCTGATGCAAGGTCATATCTCATTTACTGTGAATCATTTTTTTATTTTGGAGAACTTAATTTTTGCATAATTATTTTTTTTATTTTGGTGTAGGTATATATATGAAAAAAAATTGGGGTGGACAAAATTCATGGGTCTCTTCATACCTCAAAACCAAACAAAATCCCCCCCCCCTCCCCCTGAAAATTAGTGACTTCACAATACATCAATTTCTATGGCACTCAAAAACGATAAATATTCATTATTCATATAGAAATTTAAAGCTGTTCATTAATGATGAAAGAACTACTAAACAGTCAAAGAATTTCACAAAAGAACTACATATATAATCAAACATTTTTCTATACAAAAGTGTATACATTCAGTCATTCTATATGAAATTATAACTAATATATAAGGCAAGAACAGATACATGTAGCAGCAGACAAAATTCTTCTTAAAAAGAAAAGATCTACTTAAAGTAAATACTCACAGAGCTATGCTCCCCCTCCTGCACACTGACCCCTAAAACCCTAGATGACAGATTCTTCAGGGACGGCGTTCTACCATTATACAGCTGATGGAAGTATTTGTAGCGGGATGTGTCCCTAATTTGTTTTTTGGGATGACTGATATAAAGTACCTATTATGCAGTAAAATAAGTGATCAGATATACAGAAACTATAATATGGTAAAATAACTTCATTCACATGTAGCAGATTTTATAATGCAATACAATGGATACTTTAAATTGTCCCTTCTCACAATTTGCAAATGATCAATGAACCTGTAAGTCATGGTGAATGGCGTGTCCCACTAGTAGTCTTCCCTTAATCATGCTGCTGATATCCCTTTGGACAACAGGAAATTCTTTTCCTGAACAACAAGGAATGTTTCATTATTATGGTATATGTATGCACTCCATAATATCAATATCTGCATGTACATGTACTCTATACTAGCAACAGAATACATTTAATAGAATAATAAGATGTATGTGAATTATTCATATTTTTACCTTCATAAATCATCATTTGAAACAATTTGTTTCACAGTTTAAGAATCTGTTATAAGCTTTATAATTTTGTGTCTGTATGTTGTCCCTGCTTTATGTGAATGTAAACTTAATGCATGTTTAATAATGTTTAATAATGAATGCAACTATCAATAAGAAAACTGTGCCATTGTTTCATTTTACTGTTGTACCTTTCTCTAAGTCCTGCTTTCGGATGCCGCTGACCTTGGTCCTATAATCCACCACGTCCTCCATTGGTTTGACAAATTCATCATACACACAGTGACCATGCTGATTCACGATGGACACTCGGGCCAGCATGCTCTCCCTTCCATCCCTCCCCACGCCCACCATCTCACAGTCCATTGCCAAAATCTTTGTCAACCTTTAACATTTTGAAATAAAAATCTTTTGTGGAAAATATACCTACTTAACTTATGTTTTGAATGGTCATACAATTATTGTACAAATACATGTACTAATATTAGCAGCAATAATCAAAACACAACATAATTCTGTATATACATTTAAGGACATACGCAACGTAGTTTGAACTTTATTGTCTTTTTCCCTGGAGTTGAAGAGTTCCAATACTTAAAGGAACTGTGTGCTACATTTTAATGTCTATATATGCTGTTGTACATTTCTTTTAAAACAAATTTGGATAAACAAAACATCTAGAATATATGTTGAGTAATTTTTGTGTATTTTTGTTTGAATTATACAAGAATTTTCATCAAGTGATATCTTTTCAAAACCCCTGGTAATGCATGCTGATTTTTTTGTCTATGAATATCTGATGGCACCATAATCTTAAATTAAGAATATCTTGAAAAATTATCAGTAGGTAAGGTACCTTGCGTATGTCCTTAAATGGATTTATATCATTTATGTACATGTTAGAATTAAAGATATATCAAAGTTGTAACTGAATTAGTGCAACAAACTGAAAACTTCTGTAGAAAGCACCACAATAAGATTGCAATCATTTTTCAGCTAGAGTAACATTTACAACATACCCTCCATAAGAACCAGCCTTGACTAGGGGATTATGGGTTCTTGTACACTTTTCCGGAAGTTTAGTTTTGCGATCCAGTAAAATCTCATCCACATCATCAAACCAAATTTCTGGTTCCCTAGACAGTATATATTATAATTTAAATCATAACAGGTCAGATGAACAGCAGTGGAATTTCAATAATGTAATTATTTAACAATAATATGCTTTCTTTATCTGTTGGTATGGGAATTTATGTTGCAGCTGTTACAGAAAAATACATAACTTATACATACATAACTGTATGTGGGTTATGTAAATCGTAAAGTAGAATTAAGTACATATATGTACATTAAATATTGTATTACTGATATGTATGTCATTGTATGTTTCACTAATGGAAGAGCCACTGTTGAAGAAATCTATACAGGTGGCTTGCTTAGCAGCTTTAAGGTTTTGATTTCATATGAAATAAAAGAGATAATTTTCAGTGATGTAAACATCATATATCAAAACAATTTTTTTCTTTTATAATTTAATGAATAAAAAATTGAGTAAACTAACTTTTCTTTATCTTTTGTTTCTTTCTCTTTGGCATTTACAAGCTTAACTTTCTTTTTCTTTGCATTGAGGCCCAGATCCTGAAAAAATACCAGTAAATATACATGTATATGCTAACGGAATGAGAATCTGTCAAATACTAAAATAATCAAGTAATTTTTTTTTTCAAACACAGTTATTGAAATAATCATAGAAACTTTGTTTTAAAACCAGAATCGGGTTAACGAACCCCAAAAAATAATGTACAAATGCTAGAAACTGATCTGTGTTTTCAAATACAGTTGAACTTCGGTATCTCAAACACTGATATATTGAATGCCATGAATATGTCCAAGTGATTTGGAAGCCCCACCCCTTATTCTTTAGTAAGTATTTTACTCTGGATATCTCAAATTCTCTGATATCTCGAAGTTTTTTCTCGGTCCCATTGAGTTCAAGAAAACAAGGTTTGATTGTAGTTTGGGTTTTCCTGACATTTCTAAATTTTTGTTAATTGAAGAATTACCATATGCTCTGAATACAAATGTATTTTTAAAATTTATTAAGCACTTAATATTTTTTGTTGCACCTGAATTCACTTGCTTTAACTTACAGGTATCGCTGAAGAAACTACTAAATATATCACATGAAGTCTTCATACCTGTTGAAGTTTTTTCCAGTTTGATGAAACTTCTACACTGTTGACAGAAACCTCAGTGCTGGTTTCCCCGTTCTCTTGTTTATTCTGTATTTCTGTGTGGCCTTTTACCTTGGCATTTTTACCCTTGGTTTTCTTTGCTTTAAACCTTTGCCATTTATTTAATTTTTTGCCGGATTTCTTTCCTACTTCACTGTTTTCTTTGCTAATAGAATTCTCCTTGTTTTTGGTTGGTTTGCTAGCATTGTCCTTTAATTCATCAATTCTGTCTGGATTGACAATCTTTTCCTTACTTGCTTTCTGCTTTAAGGGTGACCTTGCTTCAGAATGTTTTTGTTTTGCCTCTATATTGTTTATGCTTGGATTACAAGAAATATTTTTTCGTTTTGGAAGTTTTTCTTTGCACAGCTTTACATCATTATACGATTCGTTGTCACCAAGCTTCATTTTCTTTCTTTTCTTGTCCCTATTTTTTCTCTGCCCTTTGCTTTTTATATCCGTGCATTGCTGAAAACTTGAAATTGTCTTTATTTTCTTAAAATCTCTGACATTCACATCTCCTTCCTGGCTTATTCTTTTCCTCTTCATGTTCTAAAAACAGATGTGATTTCATTTTATATTCAAAGCACAAAGTCTTGTGTATCACAATTAATCCTATTAATAAAAGTAGTTACCTCACTGAACAACATTTTTCAATTTCAATCTTTTTCATATCAATTGTTCAATCTCTATCATATAAAATAGAATTCCATTAAAACTGTACTCTCTTTGTCAAATCAGAGATATAAATGTCTCTGATGTAATAATTGTGATTTTTGGTCTCAAGCTGCCTACAAATTTTAAAACTGAACAATATAAAAACTAAATGCCCCCTTCCCTGTCACATTAAACAGGTTAGGACCAATGGCCAAAATGCAACATAACTTGTTTTGGACATATCCCAAATGGAATATTAAGAAAGCTTAGAAGGGTCATATAAGGAAAATGAAAAAAATAATAAAAGTCGTAATAACAACTTTTAATCTCGCAATCACAATTTTTTATCTCGTTATTATGACTTTTTATCTTGTTATTATGACTTAATAAAGTCATAACAACGACCTTATATCTCGTAATAAGGACTTTTTATCTCAATATTACGACTTTTTATCTCGTTACTACGACTTTCTTAAATCATAATAACAACTTTTTACATGTATCTCGTAATAACGACTTTTAATCTCGTTATCACCGCTTAAGAAAGTTGTAATAAAGAACTTTTCTCTCATTATTACGTCTTAAGAAAGTTGTAATAACGACTTTTTTTCTTGTAATTACGACTTTCTTAAGTTGTAATAACGACTTTTTATCTCATAATATCTCGTTACATGTATAACGACTTAAGAAAGTCGTAATAACAATTTTTGAACTCGTTATGACTTTTTATCTCGTTATTACGACTTTTTAAGTCCTAACAACGACTTTTTATCTCGTTATTATGACTTACTAAAGTCGTAATAATGACTTTTTATCTCGTAATAACGACTTTTTTTCTCATTATTAGGACTTAAGAAAGTCATAATAATGACTTTTTATCTCGTATTACGACTTTCTTAAGTCGTAATAACAACTTTTTATCTTTGTTATTACGACTTTCTTAAGTCGTAATAACAACTTTTTATCTTTGTTATTACGACTTTCTTAAGTCGTAATAACAACTTTTTATCTTGTTATTACGACTTTTTATCTTGTTATTATGACTTTCTTAAGTCGTAATAATGACTTTTGTATCTCGTTATTATGACTTTTTATCTCGTTATTACGACTTTCTCAATCATAATAATGACTTTTTATCTCGTTACTTAGACTTTTTTATCTCATAACAACGACTTCTTATTTATTTATTTTTTTTCATTTTGGTTCTTTAATTTGGTCCTTTTAGGTTACGAAAGCGTAGAAGTACGGAAACGTATAATGATCTTGTATTTGTAAGTTGGAACGCGATAATTTTTTCATAATATTGTCAAAAACGGTTGCTTCGAAGTTTGCAGATTTATCTATGACAACAATCTCTAATGAAGGACACTTTTTTGATGTATTTTGGACGACTTACACACTTTTATCTATCAAAGTCGAATTTATCAATGTCGCGCTTAAATAATTCATATAAATTACACCGCTAAATTGAATATCGCAGACATTACTGCTACGCATCGCAGACATTATTCCAATGTATTATATATATGACACATAGGCGTCGGAAGCAAATTTGAAACGAGGTGTGGGGGGGGGGGCTAAACCAACCAGAAAAAAAACCTTTGGGGGCTAAGCCCCAATTTTCAATGCCTATATTATGTTTATCTTTGCAAAAAAGGGGGATGGGGGCTAAGTCCCTTCCCGGTTCCGATGCCGATATGACCACTTCATGTAGGCAACTTAAATCAGAGAAATTAAGTCATCCAAATTTGAACTACTTGTAATACTCATTCAAGCAAAATTGACATAGATTTGTCAATATACTATAAAGTATTTAATCGTTTGATTTGCAGTTCATTTTCTAATTGCCTCACAGTTGATACCAGTGGTATGCATAAAAAGAAAGATCAATTTCAGCTATGATTATTTTTTTTAATACAGTTAAATTGTTGTTCAAACTTAAGATGACAAACGTACGTTAACAGACAAGAACTGTCAAAATATCGACGTGAAAGCTTAATAAATGGAACCATATCGACATTATTTATTCTCATTATATAAAACTGGGAGAATATTGCTACACATTTTAAAAATTGCAACAACATTGCTATTACGCAAAAAATTATCATACTTTGGTCAAAGTCAACAAAGCTTTTACAGGACAGTTAAATCATCAAACGATTATCGTAATTTTCTGATTTCCTCGCACAACTCGACAAAACTATGATGATTTATACATTTTATTGGCAGATGACACTAATTTTATCTTGTCATTTTGAGGTAAAACACAACGACACGAGGCGGTTATACGTTTCCGTAATATGGAAAGGTCAAATGAGGAAAACAAAAAAAATTTTAAAAGTCGTAATTACAAGATAAAAAGTCGTAATTACAAGATAAAAAGTCGTTGTTACAACTTTCTTAAGTCATAATGACGAGATAAAAAGTCGTTATTACGACTTTATAAAGTAGTAATAACAAGATAAAAAGTCGTTATTACGAGATAAAAATTCGTTATTACAACTTTCTTAAGTCGTAATAATGAGATAAAAAGTCATTATTAGGAGATAAAAGTCATTATTACGACTTAAGAAAGTCGTAATTACGAGATAAAAAGTCATAATTACGAGATAAAAAGTCGTAATTATGAGATAAAAAGTCGTTATTACGACTTTTATATTTTTTTTCATTTTCCTTATTTGGCCCTTCTAGGCTTTCATAGAATATAAATTTTCATTGCAAAAAAAAATTGTTTTTATAGTTATAGCATAAAATACATGTATTGTAAACCTGCAAAAGCAACAACTTTTGGTAATCATGTTTTTTTTATACATATCCATACCTTTTAGGAGATTGATTCCTCAAGAGAACCTAAACTTCTTGGTAATCAATCTCATAAGCTGTAGGGTTATGGAAATATCAGCTTACCCAAAGCTGTTGCATTTGTAAATATTGAGGGAGATAAATGTGATGGACCAGACCATGATGCAAATCAGGTCCCCTGAATCACTAGTCAGGTGCTTTACCAACTGAGTTCTCCGACCACTAGTGATAATACCTGCTTGACCGCCAAGCATTTAATAGCAAGAAGCCAAATGCCGCTCACACTGCAAGCTCTTAAAGGAATTCCTGGGGGAAAAGAAAATTCGGACTGTGCACATTGATCCAAACAATTTTTTTCCATAGTTACCCTTGGACCTACAATGCAACATGAATGCCTCTTGCTGCTAACTACGTTCTTGAGGTAACAACAAAAGTTCACCAAATAGAATTAATATTCACATGATTTAATCGATATTGCAAACTAATAGTTGATTCGATGTTTTTTTTGTTTTAATTTGCACTTTTCAGACTTCAATTTGGTAATGCAACTAACATACAACGTCATGTGTTGCACAGTCTAGACGTTCCAAATGTCTTGTGTGGTTTGAATCATAGGCACTCCCCAGCTTAATTGTTAAAAAATATATATCTACTATACTATAAACATATGTTATGTTTATAGTATAGTAGATATATATTTTTTAACAATTAAGCTGGGGAGTGCCTATGGGTTATTGCTGTTCTGTGTGTTTTTTGTCTACTTTGCCATTATTCTAAGTTTTGTAGTTCATTGGGCTTATGTTACAAGAATCATCAAGTATCCTAAGCAAAAGTCCATATTTTTACTTACAATATTCTCCTAAAAGTCACTGAAACACGTTTTCTTCCTCTCACTCGCTCTCCTTTTACCGGAAAATAACAAACGTATACTAAATGGAAAACTTGAATTCATTGAATGATTCATATTTACGGATGATCTAAAATTTAAAAAAAAAAAGAATAAAAATCATTTTTGTATCAACTTATCAACTAATATTTGTTAAAATTTTGACGCAGTTTTCTTTGGATTTTTATTCACTTTGGTTTATAACTCGATTTTTTTTTCCGGAAATCGAAATACGCTCTTCTCCAGTTTTCATTTACCGAAGTAAGATCATTTTCCTGTGTTGACTTGCAAAAAGGTTTGGCACGTGTATAGACTTTCAATTCTAAATTGTATTTGATTAACTCATTATTCTGTTATTTTTGTTCATGATTATGATTTTTTTGGTCTGTCTTGCTTTAACATGTTTCATATATATTTATTCATTTTTCCGGACAACGAAGACATTTGTTTGACTCGAGATCATCATTCAGAGATAAACTGATAAAAAAGCTGTACATGCAACTTTCTAAACAAGCAGGGTTTTCAGGTAAATAGTGTTTGATTTTCAAATTAAAAATCATTTTCATATGTATGCTTTAATCTCTGGATCTCTGCAGATTGTTAACTTGAGAGTAGGATGTAAGTGGAATATCCAACCCCTGTACATATTTCAGGTGTACATTCTCACAGACAGGTAATCCGAGATTCTTCGGACTCTGACCTCCACTTTTAAATTGTGTCACATGCAGGGAGCCGGCACATGTCACAATATAAAAGTGGGGTTAGAGTCAGAGGAATCTCGGGTTAGCAGACGGGATCAGCAGGTAAATTTAACAAAAATTTTTAAATAGCTCAATACATGGGCATAAAAGTATTTTGAACTTAACTTTATCAAGTCTATGTCAAAGGTAAATACAAAAAAGTTTTAGTTTTGCATTTTTTTATCATTTGGGGGGGGGGGGGGGGGGGGTAGGGCCGTATTAATACATGTATATCAATACATACAGATATTCAAGAATGTATCGTATCAAAAACAGAACTTCCAATAGGGCAGGCACTTTTTCTTATAATTCTGTGAAAAAGTTGGGAATTTCAATCAACCTATGATACTATTTAATTGTTTTGAATTAAAACTAATCAATAAATGATATAAACATTAAGAAGATAGCACATCTTTATAATTAATACAAAATATATGGATAATTATATTTGAACATGTTGGTTTTACAGTCATTAAAAGTTTGAATAAGAAGTATTTTGTAATCATGACAGTGAGACAAGAACTTCAAAAATTAGGCAATTGCCTGACAAAACACACATGGAATTTAGGCAATTGCTACAAAGTTTACAATCTTTTTGTTAAATATTTATGTAAGTTATGTACTGTTTAAAATTGAGTCTTCCAGATGTCAAGTAAACTCACAACCTAACAGAATTGCAACCAAATATTGCTCAGGAAACCAGGAGTTTTACACTTCGTTTATTATTTTGTCCCATTTTGTAATTTGTAGAAAGTGAGGATGTTATTACCAGTGACATTCTGAGAATTGCTGGGAAGATTTCAAGAAAAATAGAGAGGAAACAAAGAAAACACAGAAGCAGAAAAACAAATGAAACAGGTAAGCAATTTTCACATTAAATAAATGCAAAAGAAAAAAAAACAAAAAAACTTGTGATAAAGTTCCAACAGTTTTGTTTCCTTAATATAGATATTGTTTCATTCATTTGTTAAATATCTAATACATGTAAGTCCATATCACTGGGCTTAATTGAGGCTTATTTGTACAGGGTCCTAGCTGTACCCTGTCAATTGGGACTTTTAAATTGAAAAAAGTGAAGAAAATTTGATTGTATTAATGTTTACTGTAAAATAAAGACATTTTATTTTTTTTGTTTATTTATTTATTTATTTTTATTTATTTATTTTTTTTTTTTTTTTACATTTTATGAACAATCATGACAATCATGATCTGAAATTTAAATTCAGTCTGCTTCTCATTTAGGGAATTTTTACTTTGTCTTTTGAAGAAAAGAGTTAATTTTAAGCTGGAACTTGGTCTTTGTATGGGCTTTGTATGCAATAATTATAAAGTCCTCTAATGCATTTAAAAACTGCTGGGAATGAAAACTTGTACAGTATATTAAACTTCATCAAACATTTGTTTCCTGTAACCAAGTTTTACTGTATCCATAAGATCATTTTGATGGGTATTGACAAATAATGTGGCTATTGATAGACATGTTTATACCAAGCCACTAGAGGTATAGATTATATGTCATTACAATTACATTTTTTTTACAATAACTAATCATGCTGATCATGTAATACTTGTATACATATGCTCATTTAGATGATTTTACAACACAAGATTCAACAGGACTAGCTTGTTTTCAATATCCTGATTCTGGAATGCCATCTAGCAAGAAAAGAAAGTCAAAGCAAGAAAACAAATCTTCAGATATGTCACCCTCTGAGAAAGAGGAGATGTTCTCTCCACCACAGATAGAAGAGTTAGAAGGTGTAACTTCTCCAAAAAAGAGAAAAAAACATAAACTTCCAGAGGAAGATAAAAGTGAATCTGTGACAGATAATGGAGTATCTAGTTCTAATGCCAGTCATGTGTTCTCTCCAAAGAAGAGAAAACAGACAGAGAGTGAAAGTAGGGACAGTTCTGTGTCTAGTAGGAAGAAAAAGAAAAAAGATGCTACATGTGACTCTAGAGAAAATATCAACGAACGTGACAAAGACTCTAGTGTAGTGAGTTCTGGTGATCATGGTTCTGACAAAAGTGAAGGAAAGCCTAAACAAAAAAAGCAGACAGCAGCACAACTCCACAAATTTAGGTAAACACTGTATTTGTATAATGACAGGTGTTGTGGAAGTCAGATTAGGGGGATTTCCTACACAGACTTTCAAAATCCAAATTGGGGTGAAGCATGTTACAGTTACATGAAAAATATAATGTCAGTGTTGTAAGTATATAATAGCCAGTGCAACTGTACTTAAAAACATATATACTAGCATATTAATTTTTAATTTTATTCCTTTAACAGGTTTCAGAGGAAGGGCTTTCAACAGGTGGATGTGTCTTCAACCGTTGACCCAGTTCTGTCAGAGAATCTAGCAAAGAATAAAGATTTCTGGCTAATTAAAGCTCCTTCTGATGTAAGGACTAAAGTTTCTCTTATAAATTTTAATTTATTTTGAATTGATGTTTCATTTTTTCAGTTTTCAATTTATCGTTTATTTGTTTTGTTTTATGATAAATAATTTTTCTCAAAAAGTATTTTTGCTTTTTGTAGAACTTTTATTTCATATATATTTTTCCCTTCTTTTTTGGTATTACAGTTTGATATCACATCTTTAAACGAGAAGACAGTTTCTTTAACTGACAGAGTTATTGAACTTGACTTACCTGATCAGAAATGTGATCTTGTTGTTTCTCATCAGCCTTCAGAGTTATGTCCCTTGATTAGCAACCAGTCCACAGGACATTTGCAGCAAGGTTGGTATATGCCAGTATGTGTATACCAGACATTGTTAAAAATAAAAAATTAAGTGCAAGTTAGATAAGCAGCATCTGTATCCCAGCAACATGTAAATACACCAGAGATGCACAGTGGACAGAAGATCAACCTTTTTAAGTACACAGATAATCAATATACTGGTAACTTTTGACCTTTCTAAATATTCAGATGAAACAAAAATTGTACATAAATTGTTGAACTTTATATCAACATTCATATTCAGGTTAAATATGATGTATATTGTCCACTGCAAAGTGTTATATATGCATAATTTTGCAAGAGGTGTGTTCAACAATGCGAGTGCTTTTGAGTGCTCATGATAATATTTTCCTCCAACAGAATGTTTGTAAACGTTTATGAGCACCTGTTCTGTTGAACAGTCCTCTGGTATATTCCACATCAAGTAAAATTTAGATCACCTCCTGCCTTTTTTGGTACATGTATATTTCATGTGTTATTTTGTCAATACATTGTAATATTGAGTGTATTTACAGGGGGAAGTTTTGGGGGTCAGCTTCAGATTATAGGCAGTATAGATGTACCTCCTGTCCCTCCAATACAGGTACCTCCTAGGAAAGAACATACCATTCCAGAATGCCTCAAACAGAGATATGTACCTTTTGGAGCAGGTAAGTACACAAATTTATATTGTTGAAAATTTTAATGGAAAGAAGATGGGCAAACAAGGCGAGCAAAATGCCTATGGTGCGACAAGCTGAAAAATAAATCTCAATTATAACAAAATTTTCTTTGATATTTCATCTATCAATGTAAGATCTCCACAATGTGCAAAAATCTCACAAAGATTGAAATTATTCATCTATGAAATAGCATACACACAGCAAAGAGGGCAAAAATGCATTTCTTCAAACTATAACATAATTTTTCCATATGAGTGGGTCTTTACTCCATTATTTTGGAAAGTTCATCCTCAAAGTATACATAAATATATGTTTTTTGGTTGAAAAAAAACATGGAAGCAGAGCAAAGACCCACTATACCTTAAAGATGCACTCTTTTGACACAATATTTGTATCTTTCCAAGAAATATTTGAAGTCCATTTAGTCAAGGATCATATTACAAACATGATTTAAATGCCAGTATTTATTCAAAAGTAAATATGATTTTTATACATCTGAAGCTATAGGCATTTTGCATGCCTTGTTGCTCATCTCCTTTTCAAAATAAATAAAAAATGTAATTTGCATAACAATGTTCATTGTATGTGTACATGTACATGCAATAATAGTTCAGAAGATGTAGCTTTCAATACCTTTTCTATCTCATTTCAGACATCCCTGTCAAAAGTTCCCCATCAAAGAAGAAAAAGAAACACAAGAAAGGTAGACAAACTGTACATGTACTTAATCTATTCATCCAGGTAAATTTTTCAAATCCAGCTCAATCAGAAATATACACTTTATGATAATTTTTTCTTTATTTCCAAGATAAGTCTGTATGGTTCAGATTATTTTGACTGCATTTTCACATGTATTTTTGCTGCTTTACAATGGGACTTTATTAATATATACTAAATCAAGAATCACTGTACAGTTATTCCACAAAAACATGACCAATTAAGAATTTTTTATGTCGCTTACAAATTTACCATTGTAATATCTTAACTATAAATTTAAAGGTCGATTTCAACTCTATGAAAGATACACACATTGTTTTGTAAATATTCACCAATATATATGCAGTTAAAGTTTTGATATGAACATAATGCAATGTTGAAAAACATATTCCACTGCAAATCTTAATGTCGTTTCATTTATTTACAAATTTCAAGATGAAATTTCCAGCCATAAAATCGTTCTGAATAGATTGCAATGAATGTTAAAAAATGTCTTTTATCTTATATAAAAAGAAATCAAACCACTTCTTGCAAAGAAATGCATGGATCTCCTTTCATGCAAAATCATAAGCATGTCGCTTAAAATTGATTAACTTCCGTAACGATTTTGTCTTAAATTTCACGCATAGAATGCAGATTTCAAAAAGAACTGAAACTTATCTGAAAGTGACCACGGAACCTTATATCATCAATTCTAGTTGAGAGACAGCTATTTTAAACGATAACATTTTCGACATAACAAAATGAATTAGACAAAAACAGTTGTCTCTCTTAAAAATTTAACTTCCGTAACGGTAATTCAGGAAAGTTTTTGCATTAAAGGTATAAATTTTTTTATTATTTTGGAAGCGAAATGCTTCATACTTTTGTTTAATATACTAAAACAAACTTGATTTTAACTATTGAATAGAATTTTAACTTTTATTGCTAGGAATTAACTTCCGTAACGATTAACTTCCGTAATAATATTTTTCCGGAAAATTTAATTTAAATTCGGATTCGTGCGAGACTTCATGAATCATACTTCAGCATTCTTTACTGAACATCAGAAACGAAAAATTGTTCAAATTCAGCTTTATTTAAAAAATAATAAGGCTTGTTCAAGCATTAATTTCCGTAACATTACCTTTAAATCAATGGTACATGTGTCTTGAAATTGTTGTAAAAAGTTAACGATACCAGATTTGTGTACATTTTTTTGTTTTCAAGTTCACTGATATGTCCTTAAGAGAATTATGATATTCATTTTGTTATTTGAAACAATAATTTTTTTTCATGTTTTAAACTCTAAATTGGTCCATTTATTGTTGAATGACTGTGTAGTGAAAGTAAACTAGATAATTAATGAAAAAGGTAAGTATTGAAAAATCTATCCATCAAAAGCCAAAACATGGTTTAAAAAAATATGAACTAGCATGCACACATATAGCTACTCACTTTATTCAGTACTCAAATTATGGCAGTTCTGGTTGTAGAAAATTGTATATAATTGTCTCAATTCATGAGTGAAAGGGCAAGTTTTTATAAAGTTGCAAGGATACAGTTTATTTGATACATTATTTCTATTGCAGATCATAAGGAAAGTACTGAGGAAGATCACAAAAAACAAAAGAAAAAGAAGAGAAAGAAAAGCTGATTTTTGTTTATGTTACTATATATTCTAGATAAAATAAAAAAAATATTAATACTTGTTTATGGTGTTTTTGTTATAACCAGTTTTTAGCTCACCTGAACAGATGTCAATTCCTGATGACTGAGGAGGAATAATTACACACTGAAATTTTATTTACTAAAACTTAAAAAGTTTTTTTTTGAAACTTTTAAACAGTATATATATAAATCCTTATTACTCCTGTAAAAAAGACAATCAAATGAGTGAAGAATTTTTAGCAAATAGAGTAGTGAAACAAGGTGATAACCTGAGTCCAACACTTTTCAATATTTTTTTTGATGATTTAGTAAAATATATCAATAATACAGCCACAGTTCAAGCTCATTTAGATTCAATGCCTATAAGCCACATGTTTTTTGCTGATGATCTTATTCTTGTTGGAGACACATACTGGTTTACAGAAATGTATAGTTACATGTATTTTAAGTAAATATTATCATGAATGGAAATTATGTGTGAACATGGAAAAAACAAATGATATGATTTTTTCTCAAAGTGCAGATAATGAAAATGAGTATGGTTTTTACTACAATCATAGTCCTATAGAAATAACAAATCAGTATAAATATTTGGTACTTGTATTTAAATCTGGAAAAATGAAATTCTCAGCGGAACAACTATCAGAAAGAGCTAGATCCGAAAAAGCCTATTATGCTGTGAAAAACTAAATTTCCAGCTAAAATAAATTTTTCTGTCGAGAAACTTTATAGATGTATGATTACTCCAGTCTTAACTTATGGTTCTGAAATTTGGATTGCAGACTACAAATGTGATTTATTATCCTCAGATCATTTCCCATTTGAAAAAATACAACTACATATATTAAAAGACATTCTGGGTGTTCAAAATCATCTAATATTGCTGTTCTATATGAGTTGGGACAATTCCCTCTAATTTTTATTTGTGTTTAGAAAATATGTGTAAATTTTATTTAAGATTGAAAAATTTCGAGTCAGAGAATGAGCATATAATGACCAATTTGTGGAGTCGGCATTTAAGGAGGATAAAACACGGGGGTCTAGAGTATCTTGGCAGAGAAAACTTTTTACTGTACAACAGAAATTGTCTTTATCTTCATTGGACATATCATATAAAACTCAAGTTATAAATTAGAGGAGCATTATCATAACAAAATACGTGAACAATTAAAGAACATTTCCAAATCTGATTCTGGAAAATTAACTTTTTATAGTAATATAATAATTTTAAAAATGATTCTTGTGGGTGTGCTTTCCATACATCTCTTAAAATCGTGTATTATTCGCGAATAAGTTTCTGTAAGACTTGTCTTGTTCCGACGTTGCCCTTTTTCAGGAGAATGTCGAGAGAGAGAAAACCGGGAGGGAAATCAGCGTTTATCACCGTAGGCACCACACAGTTTGAGAAACTGACCAACGCTATTTGTAGTTCAGCCGTTCTTACAGTAAGCGCAATAAGTTTGATTTAGATCCATGGTTATTTAACCTGTGTAAATAACTTGTATATTAACTCGAATTTCCTCAGTTATTTTTAATGGAATGTCGACCATCAGAATTGCCATATGGCATGACATCTTCATTGACGGAACCCTGGCAAAATAAATGAAAGGTGTCTCTGGGTTTGACTTAGAGCCTAACACTCTAACGTTACTGAATGTTCTCTTTTTTTGGTAAATTGACGAAACCAAGCTAAAATAGTGTAAGAAAAATCTTGTTAGGCTGATAATGGGGAGAGCCAGTTTGAAGTCTTTTGTTTTGAGATGACATTTAAGAAGCCGTGATCAGGATAAGTTTGATACGTTTGTAGCCTGAGAACCACAGACACCTGCTAATGTATGGATGACCCCCCCCCCCCCCCCCACACACACACACACTTCTGAGAATGTTTTAACACACAAATATACAATATATCCTTATTGTGTCTTGAAAATCTCAGAATGGGGGAGTGGTAGGTTTTACAGCCCTGCCTATGAGGAAACTTGACACAAAAACACTTTTTTTAATGTGTTCAATAATTTTTTTCTGCTATGTATTCAAAAGGAAGAGTAGGAAATCACAAGGAAAGACAATTGTTTTGGCCAGGTCTGATTCATTCCTTAAACTTGAAGTGTCTTTGTTTGTCATTTCATACCAAGTCATGTTCTCTTTTGAGTTCCATGTGTTACATGAAAGCAAAGATCCACAGTTACATGACAAACAAAAAAAAAATTAAAGCCAAATTATGCATCTACAAGTTGAAATTCCGATAGAGAACTATTTTATAGCAAAGTTTCCCAATTGAACATGTTCAATGCTTATCATTACACATGTAAGCTAGATTGACCAGACACTGCAACCTTGGTAACTACAGATACTTTGGCTCTGGTTGCCTCATACATAGCATGTGAATGCTAGTATTTTATATTAATATAATTTTGAAGAAAAAATTCTTTCATTTTTAGACTCTTCTCAATTTGGGTTACAGAAAAGTCAAAGTTCAAATAGGCCATGGTAAGGAGCCTATTGTAGACAGGGTACCAGGTTTAGAAGTTGAAGTTTATAGGTTAAAGCCCAGTATCAGTGAAGACATCAATCAGGCCGACTTAGTCATCAGTCATGCAGGTAAGTGTGGATAGTATATAACTAGTATGCAGAATTTGTGGACACATGAATGCAGATCAGCGTCATCTAATATCATTTAATAAGATACCTTGTTACTAAAATTAAAACTTAGCTGGTGGAAACCAGTGATATTTAAACTTTCAACACATCCACATACTCTATTTCTTGAACTACAAATATCAGATACACGCTGGGGAAATAATTTACGTGTGAAAACTTATTTGAATGATTTACCATGTTTACAGGAGCTGGAAGTTGCTTAGAAACTTTGGCAGCAAACAAACCACTTCTTGTTGTGATCAATGATGATTTAATGAATAATCATCAATTAGAGCTTGCGTATCAACTCAACAAGGACAAACATTTATTTTACTGCACAACAAGGTGGGCATCCTATGTTTAACTTCCATGTAGCATCATTTATAAATAGATATCAAATTCTTTGAATATCTACACCCTCTGCTATCCAGGGTAAAAATTCTAGACATATAATACTCATGATTTTTCTATCTTTTTTGGGAAGTTTACAATTTGCATTTACAAACATGATAAAACAGTACATTTTGGATTGAGTATTCCTAGTTCTACATGTACAGCTCATATTTTGCTGTTAATTAAATGTTTGATGAAAATAAATGAATTCTATAATTGTTGTCGAATATGGTAAATACTCAGTAATTTCCCCCAATAATGCAGAAGTGTTTTCTGTCATATGTGGAGAAAAATTTTTGTGTGCTCTTGTCAATTTTTATTTATCTGCTGTTCCGAGTAAATAATGTGCATATGATCTGATGTTATTTTATTTTAGCACCTTAGTGGAGACACTTTCTTCTGTGGATTTTTCTGTATTAAAACCATTTCCTCCTGGCCAGCCACAGAAGTTTGGTGAATTCCTTGACAATCTATTTGGCTTTAGTGAACAGAAACAGTCCTAGGAGTAGGTAGTTAATATCCTGATCATAATCATTCATGTAAGGAGATGAATTAATATAAGTTTTTAAACTTCTCTCTGAATCCTGGTAGATCTTCATTGTATATCTGTACTTTATGGTTGTAATTTTCAAATAAAATATGGTATAAACTAAACATGTACAGTGTGTCATAAATGATAAAACATTTAACAATGTAAATCCATTTCATCTTCAGTTACATTATGTAGTTAAAACAATTTTTTAACAAAATCTTTTTTTTTCCATTTCAGAAAGAAAATATATATTCTGATCTGCCGTGTTTCTCAGTGGGGGAAGTATGTTGTTAAAGGAACTTTGTCTTCAGAAAAGAAGCATGGCTTCTTTATGGAGTGTCATATATAGACTTTCAAGGAACATTCACCAAAATGCAGCAGTAAAAGACACCAAAACCCAAAGTAAACTTTTCACAAAAGATAATCTGAGAGTGCATTCTTCAAGCATTCCAAGAACATTTGTTATTTCCGCTGACACTCCCAGAAGATCTATAACAACAAGTGTTGTGTTAACTTCTAACAAGCAAGAAGTGTGTGATAATGGAGATTGTGCATCTCATCAGAGTGATAATTCATCTGGTAAAGGAGATTTAGTCTCTACTGATAAACAAGAGAAAGCTGTTGGACGTCCTAAACCAGAGTTCAAATGTTTCTATTATTTCCCACCAGTTAACATCATACGACTTATACAAAGATTCCAACTTCTGGTGTATGCAACTCTGCTCCCTAGCTGTATCTATCACATATACACAATTCCTTCACCCTCAGTTCTTATGACAGGTTTTGTTGCTGCTAACGTACTGTTCATGCCAGCGGTTCTCTATGTGATGCCGAGAACAATAGGAAGTTTGTCGGCAGGAGGGGTGGGGGAGGTCGTGGACACTCTCAAAGTCTCAAGATTATCTTTCTTTGGGAATAGAAAAGACAGTTATTATAAAATAGAGCATGTTAAACCTTTGTCCGAGGTTAGGCATGCAAATCTTGTGTATGCAAAGTTTGAATTGTATAACAAGAAAGATAAGTTATATTTGTTTAACTCATGGGCTAAGATCCTTGATAAAGAAATGTATGAAATTATAATGGGGAGACTCAAAGAATAAATGTGATTTACTAAATGATACATGTATTTATATGCTAATAAATTGTTCAGTGGAATCATAAATGTACATAAAAATTTAACCTTTTCTGTACATGTATTTAATACATGTATAAGAGATATAGAGAATTTAGAAAAGACATTTTGTAGTATTACATATATACTGTGTAGAAGGATTGAAATCATTAGATTTGAATGCTTAGCCAAGACAGATATAGTTTTCAATTCTTCTGAAGTAATGTTATTCAAAACTATTTTATAAATATGATAAAATATTTTTATAGCGAAGAAAATTGTCTTATGTAGGAAACGCTTTCTGGTAACTCATTTCTTTCAAATTGAAATGTAGAAAATTGAGTTAATCCCTTTTTCTATATGTGTCAAAAGTGGGCGGCATCTTTTCTATGACATCTTCTCCTCCAAAGCTTTGTTTTTCTTTCCTGTGATTGCTTTGTTCATGTTTTACAACAGTTCTGAAGTTTTTATTTGGCAAGATTCATGATTTACTTTTCTTGCTATAACAGTACGTAAACTTTTAATAAAAACAGTGAAGTCTGTCTAACCTGACTTGCACAGGGAGAGAAATTTTAAGTCAGAATAAACATGTCGGATTCTGCAGTGTAAGATATAGAAAACCATAGAATGGGAATTTAAGTAAGGGTCAGAATTCACATTGAAACAGATTGATTAGGTTCTGGGTTTGACAGTTTTCACTGTATGTAATTTTCATTGTGCCCATCTCAATATGACGTATTATTAAATGACACTGCCTATAGTTACGTAATCTGACTTATCTTTGACAAGCCCTTTAAACCAGCTAGGCCCATAGGGTAAAATCATTTTAAGCGATAGTGCGTTTTATCTAGGTACTGTCCCTCTGTCTGCTTATTAGCTTTCTTGGCCTGTGAACAATATTTTTTCCGAACCCGGGATGTAAGTATCAACACTTTACTCCAGAGCAAACGCTCTAACCAAGCACTGTGCCATGCGGGCGACTAATGATAAGAATGAAATCACTATTATAGCAAAACTGTGTATTTCTTAGCTGCATTTTTAAAATCAACTATTTCATTTGATAGTCTGAATAAGTAACTGAATGGGCATATTCTCTTTGAAGAAGTGGACACGCATAGACTACATCCACGAAGTCTACATACCTGTGCACTTGTCTAAAGAGAAAAAGCCTTTGCTCTCCCTGGAAAGATTTAACGAATAATTTTTTTGCACATAAGCAATTAGCATAAAAAACAGTAAAAAATGCAGTTCATGTCCATACAAGAGTTCAATGAATGTATTGTTTTGAACACTGACCTGCCCCCTTACCCCACTGTGAACATTATTGAGAGTTTCCTGTTTCTTTTCACTTGTACCAGTCTGTTTTGCATTTACAGTGTACTTTTTTTTTTTAAGTGTCTCTTTACATTCATACAGATAATTTACAAGTACATTGTTTATGACTTGCAAAAGTCCACTTCTTCAGCGTAAAAATGTTATTTCAAATGCAGAACAAGCAAATTCAAAGAATTGTGATCCTCCACTTTTGTGTCTTAGTGGTTGGGAAGCAATGATTTATGGCATATTGTAATGCACATATCAAGTATAAGTTCCCCTTCTTTTCGCATTCAAAAGTTATCAGTAATATTAAAATTTTTGAAAATTAGGCCAAACTTCAAAATCACGGTCATGGGCTTAAAAATCATAGTGCATTTTGAAATGTTTTGTCACAGGTAATGCACGTCAACTATGAATATCATGTCTTCTCTCCCTCAAGTTATCAGAAATGATTCATAAAATTTTTGAAAATTAGGACAAACTTGAAGGTCAAGGTCACTGGGTCAAATATCATAGCACATTCAGAAATATCTTGTCACAGGTAATGCATTTGTCAAATAAGAACGCCCTATCTTTCTCTTCATAAGTTATCCCCAATGCTATAAAATTTTTGAAAATTAGGTAATACATGTGTATTTCAATGTCAAGCTCACAGGGTCAAATATCATAGCATGGACGGACACGTCACAGTAATGCACATGTCAAACATGAATGCGCTATCTTTTCTTATTCAAGTTATTATAATCAATGATAATTTTTTTAAAGAATTAGATCACACTTCAAGGTCAAGTTACAGGGTAAAAAATCATGATAGTATATTTGTAAAGGCCCTCTCACAGGTAATGTGCATATGAAAGTCATCTCTCTTCTCATTCAAAAAGTTATGAACAAGGTAAACATGTTAGAATTTTTTGAAAATTAGGTTATACTTCAAGGGTGAAGGTCACAGGGTCAAATATCATGGCATATTTGGAAATTGTCAGAGGTAAAAGCCATATCTCTTTTCTTCAAAATTTATGACCAAGGTTAAAGCTAGTCAGGTTTGAATTTTTGAAAAGTAGGTCAAACTTCAAGGTTACGACGTCAGAAATCATAGTATGTTTGGAAAGATCTTGTCACAGGTAATGTACAGGTGAAATATGAAAGCCCTAGTTTATCTCATTCAGAATTTATTACCAAGGTTAAAGTTTTTTGACAGACTTACAGATGAATGAGATTTAATGTCCCCTCGCTTTCAAGAAAGCAGGGAACAAAAAATCTTACGACTGTCCATCACCTTGCTAGACCCCAAATAGGTAAACATGCAGAAGAAACTTAAGTATCCTCTATCTCCAACCTAACTCCGCAAATTAACACAATATGTACATTTTTACAATTTTATAATCTCAGTAGATATATGAATATCCATATGAATTTTCACGAAACCAAGGGGACATTAAATCTCACTCATCTGTCAGTCTGTCGCAAAAACTTTAACCTTTTTCATAACTTCTGAATTAGAATAGACAGGATTTTCATATTTCACATGTACATTACCTGTGACAATCCCTTTCCAAATTTACTATGATTTTTGACCCCGTGGCCTTGAAGTTTAACCTACATTTCAAAAATTTTAACATTACTTTAAATTGGTCATAACTTTTGAATGAGAAAAGATAGGCTTCATATCACATACACATGTATATTACCTGTGACAAGACCTTTCTAAAAGTACTGACTTTTGACCCCTTGACCTTGACATTTGACCTATTTTTCAAAAATTTTATGTTAGCTTAGAGCTTTTTATTAAGAAGAGATAAGGCTTTTCATATTTAACATGTACATTACCTGTGGCAAGACCTTTCCGAATAAACATGTACTGTGATTTTTGACCCCTTGACCTTGAAATTTGAGCAACTTCTCAAAAAATTTAATATTTCATTAAATTGGTCATAAAATTTGAATGACAAAAGATAGGGCTTTAATATTAGACATGCACACTATCTGTGACAAGACGTTTTTAAATGTACTATGGTTTTTGACCGCGTGACCTTGAAGTTTGAACTACTTTTCAAATATTTTATCTTTGTAACTTTTGATTAAGAAGAGATAGGGCTTTCATATTTGACATGCATATCACCTGTGACAAGGCCTTTCCTAATATGCTTTAATTTTTAACCCCTAGACCTTGAAGTTTGACTTACTTTTTCAAAAAAAAAAAAAAACAAAAAAAAAACAACATTACTTTCAACTGGGCATAAAATTTGAATGAGAAAAGATATGGCTTTCATATTACACTTGACATTACCTGTGACTAGACCTTTCCAAACATACTGTGGTGTTTCACCCCATGATGTTTGAACTACTTTTCAAAAATTTTATCTTTGCTTATATCTTTTGACTGCTTTTATATTTGACATGTGCATTACCTCTGACAGGGCGTTTCCGAGAATGCTATGATTTTTTACCCCTTGACTTTGACCTTCATGTTTGACTTAATTCTCAAACTTTTAATTTTGGTGATTACTTTTGAATGACATATTTGACGAGTGCATTACCTCTGGCAAAATGTTTCGAAATGTGCTATATTTGACCTTGACCTTAAGTTCGACCTTAGGTAATTTTTAAAAACATTTTATCAGTGTTGCTAACTTTTGAAGGAGCGAAGATAGAGCATTCATATTTGACACGTGCATTTCCCGTGACAAGCATTTCTAAATGTTCTGAGAATTTTAACCCTATGACCTTGTCCTTGAAGTTTGACATAGTTTTCAAAAAAATCAATATTGCTGATAACTTTTGATTGAGAGTAGATTTGGCATTTACTGTACATCTGACATGTGCACTACCTGTTTCAAGACCTCTCCTATTGTATATTCTGGTTTTTGACCTCGTGACCCTGACCTTAAAGTTTAACCTAGAACACTTTTCAAATTAATTTTAGATTTGTAATAACTTTTGAAGGAGAGAAGATAATGATTTCACATTTCTATATGTACATTACCTAGGAAATACCTTTCAGAATGTATATCATATTTGACTTCATGACCTTGACCTACATGTAGAAATCTGACCTACTTCTAAAGGAAATTAACCTTGACCATAACCTTTATGTCCCATAAGAGACAAGGCTTTCATATTTTTTTTCACATGTGCATTAATTGTGACAAGACCGGCCTTTCGGATTGTATTATGATATTTGACTTGTTGATCTTGATCTTGAAGTTTGATTAGTTTTGAAAAGCTATAAGCTCTTTGCCATAACTGTTATAAATTCAATAAATTTGTCATTTTTGTATGAAGACAAGACACACAAACAAGAGTTACAATATGCCATAAATAATGGCATCCCATCTACTAAGACACCGAAAGCGGAGGACCACAATTCTTTGAATTTACATGTTTATTCGTATACACATTTGCTTTATTTTATCATTATGATTCACATGAAGATGTTCACATCAACCTATGACTGGAGACCCTCCTTCCGCCATCCTGAAATAAAAAGAAGAGAGACAATAGACTTACTACAGTAACATTCAGGTTTAATCGGACTATTATAGATTTGATCATTCTATCAATATTTAGTCTTTGCATTTTATTTTTTCCTACAAAGTTGATTTTTGGGATTGTGTTGGAGGTGGGTGGGTGTTACTAAACATGACCAAAAAATGAGGACTATCAGTTTTAAAAAGTAATTGATGAACATGTTACACCTTATATAGCTTGAGCGATTGAATTCAAGAATATTAAGATCATGTTAATTGATAAGACCCCTTGCTCTAATTAAGGCGAGGGAGAGGGAATGTGCGACAGCATGCAAGGAGGCGAAGAAAACAAATTCCAGAGTGATGCCTATCTCGCTCCCTTATCCTAGTTTTGCTGTCTAGCTCATTCCTAGCTGCAGACCTGTTGCTCGCTGGTCTGGAGAATGGAATGAACTACCAGAGAGCTATAGTACTTACAGTTAAGTGTACATTTATTAATTGCGCACAAAAAATGTGCTACATGCATGTTTCTTGATTTATAATGTCACCCGCGTGGCACAGCGGTTAGAGCGTTTGCTCTAGAGTCGCGGAGTAAGGAGTTTATCCTTACGACGCGTCGCGGGTTCGAATCCCACTGTGGGGCGTGGAAACCGGTCCTTCGGATGAGACCGTATAAACCGAGGTCCCGTGTCGCAGTAAGTGCTGGCACGAAAAAGATCCCTCACTGCTCAATGGCCCTGAGTGCCGAGTATAGGTCAAAATTTGTAGCTCTCCACCGGCAAGTGGTGGCTTCTCCATATGAGTGAAAAATTCTCGAGAGGGACGGTAAACAACAATAAACAAACAAACAAACAAAAAGTATATGTTTAAACTGCCATCTCAAAATATTACTAACCGTTTGTTCAGAGCATAATCTTTTACAATTTCTACAACAAAATATTTCCCATAACAGTTGGTAATAGCCCTCCTGGGTCTGAAATTGAGACCATCGAAAATTTCGCATATTCATACGGCCATTTTGGGTGGCAAGACAAATTCAGTCCAATGCGCTTCGTGCAGATGTGAGTATAGCTGAAAGAGACCTTTAGAAAGGTTTTTTTGTGCAGTTGAGCTAAGCATTTGGAGAAAGAAATCCAGAATCGAGCACAACTTTTTGTGCGCAATAAATATACAGTTTTTTTTTCTGTGGTTGACACTGTAGTTCTCCGGCCCGTCAATGTTTCTATATTTTGGAGAGCTGCAGTTCTGTAGCTAGCTCATTTCCACTTATTTTTTACCCTAGGTCTAGCTCTCGCCTTGTCCTCTTAATTTGCCTTATACGGACGAGGGAGCTATATTTAGTGACCCTTTCATAAACAGCATACTTACGGCACTTCACAAATAAAGTTAGCTTTCTTAGAGCAGTCGTCATCATTCCAATGCGTTGATTGAGCAGTGTGACCAACAATAATCTCCATACAGTCCTCATTAGACAAACTGTCACTTGGGTTACCGGGAGACCAGTCAGAGAAACCCAGTTTCTGCATCGTCGGTATCCATATCCAGTGCCCCTCCACAAATTCATCTGTCCCTCCGATCCAGAAATCCTCTAAATGGGTCTCTAAGAGGTTATCACAAAATTTTCTCCACGGATTTTTACATGTTTTTATTTTAATATTATTAAAATTCATACGGATCATTATTTTTAAATGGATATTTTAAACGGCTATTAAATGGTCTTGAAAATTAAATTGCATTGAATAATCATTTTTGTAGGTTATTTTTTTTTTCGACATTGTCCAAAACTGACTACTGTAATGTAAGGTTTATAAATATTTCGTCTTTCAAATACCTACTGTTTTCATGCATCATAAGTAACTCCTGGTATATAAAATTGTTTTCAGATTGTGTTTCTATAGCAACGAGATCTCCTCCCTGAAATCTCCTACAAAATGACTGAAATGTAATTATATTTTGATTTTAAAAAGTAGTTTGATTTTTCAAGTGTTTTATAATTCTTCAACTCTCTCTATATATGTTAACCTCATTTACTTATATTCTAAAATGTATCTTATATTGAATATGTGAATTCTGTCCGTGAATTATGAAACTCTCATTTTCAACATTTAAAATATATATATATGAATCATTAAGTTGTCGTTATATTACCCCCGCCTCAATCCAGTCTGCGGCTATATGAGAGGCAAAGAAATAGCACGAAGGTCCATATTGGAAAAATCCTTCTGGGCAGAAGTCCTGAGTTACACACACTGCGAAACATAAATAAATATTCTTTTGAATTTATAGTTACGGTTGGTAAGTTCCGGTCCGTGTTATGAATAAATAAAAAAAATATTTAACCTTTTATAAGCACAGTTAACCAGAGTCCGTAAATATTTCTTAACATCTTGACCTTTTCAAGAGCTCTTATCTTTTCTTACGTATTGTACCGCATTTATTTAGTGTTATGGAAATACGTTGGGGCAATTAAATTAGGATTGGGATCCTGAAATCAGTATTGTGATTATTGAAAAAAGAAAAGAAACTTCCCATTAATTCTATACTTATATATAAATAAATTCTATGGAAATTTCGATCGGTTCTTGGGATGAGACCGTTTAAACCGAGGCCCCGTGTTGAGGTAGGTGCTGGCATGAAAAACAATGTCTATAAGGCCATGTATAAATCTGCAGCCATCCGACGGCAATTGGTGGCGGTCCAAGTGTGAAAATTTCTAGATGCGACGTAAAACATCAAAAACAGATCTTTGTTACGCTCCGAAATTCTGATAGTAGCGACTATATCAGACTTTCGGAGCGTAACAAAGATCTAGCTAATTTTAATCAGATTGAAAAAAAACGTTAAATTCTTATACTTCAGTAATCAAACATTCTTGTACAAAATCCACATTTGTTGTACAATATGGGAAATAAAATACTAAAAGTTTTTGCTGAACTTTTTGCGGAACTTTCATTTTGTCTGTATGTTTTGGTTTAAAGAGGCCGGGACACAGATTTGAAGTTAATGTTTTCTCAAATTTTCTGTATATTATCATGGATTATATTTTGCGTTAGCATTTCACACAGAAATATAACAAAAGCATGTTCAAAAACTTCTTTTATCTGGAAATTATTAAAATTACGAGTTTCGGGACGCGTTTGATTGAGACATACACTTGCACTTTCACGATGTAAACTTTATTTTTAATACTTTAGAAAAGTAGGAACTTGTTGTCTATTAATGAAACATATTAAAACTATAATCTAGAAAACTATAGGAGTAAAAATGCTTGAAAGCAAAAACAACTCACCTAAATTGTCAGTCCCCGCTCATGATATGTGCAGAGTTTAACAAATCGAATAAACCCGATGAAATGTAAACATTAATGATAACAGAGCTCATGCCACAAAAACAGATGTTTAATTTGACGTGATATAAGGAAAGAATATCGCTGTCATTGAATTCTACGAAGATTCATGTTAGTTGAATGTAAATTCAATTTATTTCACAAATATTTTTTTCATAGCATATATATATGAAAGAACTACATATGTATACATTAAAAGCATTTTTTTTTGCTTCCATAAAAGCCACATTTTGAAAATCTCTAGAAATGTACTCATTTGTTTATGTCGTATGAAAAGTCTTATTTGACAAAAAAGAAGTAGATTATGGGTGAATTAAAAAAAATGACCACCAAACTGAATTTTTTTGGCAAAATTCAACTACTTATAACATATTTTTCACTTATATCATCATATTGCAAATGCATTCTAGTTTAAAATCCTAAAGTGGCAATAGAATAGACAATTGGATTAAAAAGTTTCAGAATTTTTATTAGTAAAATTTCTTTTGAAAAAAGAAAATATCATTACACCTTAAAATACTTTCTAAAATACATAATCACAAGTAATTATAGTTTTTAATGCTTCAAAATGGTAAAAGGGGTATAAATGTTTAAATCTAGACCTTGAATGAGTGTCTTCTCTTGTTCATGTGACAAAAAATTGGCTTTTTGATTGTTATTTTACATTATTTTTTCAATTCTGGTTAGAAAAGTTTTAATATGAAAAAAATATGAAGCAATAAAATTCCCCAAATTTCACTTTTTTGTCCGTTCAAGTCAATTCTTTAAATCTAAGCCAAAAAAGAATTGTTATATACGAGTTCTCTTACGAAAAATACTAGATTTTGAAGTGACCCTATGTTACATTATTGTGTTGCACTCCTGACATCTGATATGTATTTTATTTAACATTGTTTTAAAAATTATAACACACAATAACCCATTCTTACTTTGTAAATCAATTTGTCGTGTTGATATTTTTCATCGTTTACAGCAGGTTTTTCATATTTTGAAGACCTTAAAACATGATTATTTGCAAAGTGTAATACATGTATATATAAATTGTATTTAAAATATATGTGAAATGATGAAAACTATTCCCTGAATTGACTGTAAAATTTCTGTAATTTGTTGATAGACATAGTGTTTTGAACATCAAATAGTATCAAGCATTTTTTTTCAACTTAATTTTTAGTAAAGATAGTTAAAAAGCATCGGTAATTATGAAGCAGTATTGTTGCACTCCTGACTGCAGTAAAGTTTAAAATTAAAACCACAGAACACAAAAATTCATAAAGTGTTGGCAACATCAAGTGGTAATGAAATTGTGCAATACTTATAGTCCAATACTTCATAATTAAAACAGATGAAAGTATTTAAAATTCGCATTTTATCTTTCTTTTTATTCTTATTGGATGATTTATAATTCTAACATATTTATTGCACTCCTGACCAAAAGCATTGGGGTCTTTAAAGTAGAATTGTGAAGTGAAAATTACATAAGAACTTGTTCTGTTGTTTCAGTGAAGTTGAGGAGGAATTACTCGAATTTTATGACAATGTTTTAGTGTGTTTATTTTTAACGTTCATTAAAAAAATCACAAAAAAGATAAAAACACATCTGAATTGATAAAATTGAAAAAGGAAGGATTTTAATAATAAAACTGTCAACAATTTAGCATTAAATTGTACAAAAAGATCATTATTAATTAATGAATACTTCTAAGCACGAATAGAAGTCTTTTCGTCACACAACTTGAATCTTTAAAAAAATGTGTTGAACTGCTGACCATAGAAATATGGATCTGAAGCACAGACAGATCCTGTAATTGATAAATCTATTTGGTAAAAATGTTCTTTGTGTCTTTATTTTCCAAAATAAAAATCAGAAAATCATATAATGATAATAGTTTTTTCATGCCTGGGAGCAAAACATCAAATGTTGCACTCCTGACATTTTTGGGTATGCACATATACTTGACTCTCATTAATGCTGCTTGTGATTTATATAACATTTTTAAGTTTTAAAATGTGTATCAGTTATTATTTTACACTTCCAAAATTCTTTTTTGTCTTAATTTTCTATCAGAATTTTACAATTGATGTTTTTTTGGCAACACTACATTTTTTCTGTTGCACTCCTGACATGGTATAGCATTTTTTTAAACATCAGCCATGACCACAACCTGATTAAACAAAAGTTATGACAGTCCACATTTAAAGCTCAATACTTTGAATATTATCAGGAAAGTCTTTATTTTCAACATGAAGCATTATTTTTTGTTTCACAGATCTCCAAAAAAATATTGAAATTTCAAAATGTCACAAAAAGGTGTTGCACTCCTGACAATTTTAACATCATTTTTGGGCATAACTTTTTTGTTAATTGAGATATCAACGAGATATTTGGCAGGTATTTAGACACTATCTAAAGACATATGCTGAGACATAGAAGTCTATTTTCATTGCCTGTATTTTTAGTGTTGGTTGATAAATATGCGTTTGGTCATTTTTTTTTAATTCACCCTTATCGTAAATTCTTGCTGATTTGTTTCTGTGACGTCACAAACAATTAGGAGTTTCCGTTGTTTTCAAGAAATGGATAAAATTCGTTCAATTTTTAGTATAGAATTTACCGAGTGCAATCTTGCACCAGAACAATTTTCACATATATGAATTCAGAACATGAAAATGTTTACAGGACAAAGTAAAACATCCACGGATATCCCGCATTCAGGGTTCTTTAGGTCCCTTGGGTAGGGTATGAAAATAAACATTTTTGCATTCACCGTAGATATGTATTATAGAATAACTATGTGTTATGATCTGTACATAGCAATCGCCCTGAATATTGAAAAAGATATAACATCGTATCCTCATTCGTGTATGCACTAGTATACATTTGTAAGTCAGAGAATATACATGCAAATGTAAAGTGACATTAAAACAGAAAAAGCGTCTTCCACAGCGTTGGGTCGACCAGATTATAACAGTATGTGAGCAAAGGAACAGTAGCGAAATTGATTATTCAAGTGATTTTCCGAATAAACCAAAGTCTCCAACAATGCCCCCTTTTGTGATAAAGAAATAACTAATTAAAAATCAATATCTCATAAATCAAACCACTGCAATGCAAAAAATACTTGCAATATATTTATTAATCAGTGATACAGTATATGAATTAAGGGCATTAACAAAACTACGATTCTATAGCAAATTAAAATAAAACCAGATCTCTGACGATAATGTAGCTCTACTGATGTGTACTTATATTTTTTGTAAAAGTCTAACTGTGGAAGGAGTAGCGTTTTAATTTCGAAGAAATTTCTTAATCTATTTTTAATAACCCATGGCAAACCCGTTTGTCAAAATCAAAAACCGATGCATAAAATTATGTATCTTAGTAAAGTCCGCCTAGTCTTATTGAAATTTAATTGGACAAAAACTCTAGGAGTAGCGTTTGAAAAGAACTGCAAAGAAATTCTATTTTAAGTAATCATGGCAATACTAGTACTGTTAGTCGAAATCAAAAATCGATGCATAGAATTATCTCTAATCCTCTTTTGTACGAAATCTTTTTTTTTTAATTTGAACTAAAACTGTAAGATATTTTGGGAAAAATTGTTTACAGACAGGTGGACGGACGACGGACACCTTACAAATGCTTAAGCTTTTCTTGTCTCTGACCAGCAGAACTTAGAAGGCTCTATATAAAAAATAATTTTGAAGAATTCCATTGTGTTTTCATTAAACACTGAGTAGCAATATGTTGAAATCTTCAATTCCGATTTCTCTCTCTCTCTCTCTCTCTCTCTCTCTGTGTATGTGTTTGATTTTTTCCTTAACATTAAACGAAAGACAATTAATGAAAAATAAACGTGTTAATCATTATGAAAAACGTAAACTGTACTTATCTCAAGCATTAAAAATATTCTTTTAAAGAAATTCATTTAGACAAATCACATTTACATTTATTTCCAGATAAGAATGCTTTTATTTAACAAATAAAGTGGATTTTGTAAATTTTCTTGCAGGTTCTTTCAGTAAAGTTTTAACATTTCGATGCATCTCCCAGCATTCAGAATACGCAGAGGCTGTTGGTATTTTACGATGTTTCAGTTTAGCGTGGAAATAGTCTCTCTGTCCAGGTTTGATAATCATGAATTTCCCTATTACTCCCTTATCGGCTTCCTTGATCCCCAGCCTTTTGATTGGCCATTTATAAGCCTGACCTGTACATAAAGAAAAAAAAAAGAAAAATTCAAAAAAGAAACAAATATGTGCATGGAGAATGGTTACACATATTAAGTAAACCATAACCATGATTCCATCACATTACCTTTCCATTATCTGTAATTTATGAGTAAAAGAAAGTAAACAAACGCGGTATTGACTGTACAGTGTAGAAGCTCTTGATATGTCGTGTACGTTTTAAAGAGATTATGCATATTTTTAGAGATGGAAAATCCTTACCAAGAAATCCACCCGCTCCCTTTCCGATGCTTTTCATACTGGCTATTGCAATATCTAAATAATCAATGGGATGGCCATCCATTTGAAGCCTTCTACAAATCGTCAAAATAATATTCCGTGGATTTTTATAATCGATACAGTTAGGATGATAAGAACTCAAATACAATCCAGATCCAACTGGATCCTTGTTCCACTGGAGTTGTCTCCCGTTTATAAGTATTTGTTCAGGAGTTACCAACAGGTAATTGTTATCAGATGATATATATAATTCCCCAATATATGATTTATTGTGTTTTTGTCTGTTGAGCTGAGTGCTCGTAATTATGGCAATATTCATCACAAAATCTGTAAAACAAAATGTAAATCATACAAATCTAGAACCAGACGATACACATCATTAGATTTTATTACAAACATGATCACTCAGATGAGGAAGGGGGTGCAGCACAAAGTTAAATGTTCTCTTGTTTGATTCTTGCAGAGAATAAAAGTACAGCGGTAAGTGTGAGTGTATTAATTATATGACGTAATTCTATTTGATTATGTGGAGAATCGTGTCGTGATTATAAACCTGATAAGTACACATGCACGCGATAACACAATTGTGGCTTCTGCTCTAAAATTGATATTAACTTTTCTTATCATGATTGTCTGTGTGTTCTATCCCTTCTCTACAATTAGCCAAATATTTAGGATCGGTAATACAGATTTTCATAACGAGAGATCAGTCTATCAATAAGTTATTCGTAGCCGGATTAAAAATTGTCTCCTACTCACTAGGTTATCCTAAGAGTTCATTAGACATGTTAGATGGAACAGGTTTCCAAGAAGATAGTTTACATAGTGAACAAAAAAAAAAGATATACAATAACATTCTATCAATTGAACTTTTTTTCCTACTTCATAAAACTCAGCATAATTACCTGTGCTTGACAGTAATTGAACGAATTTCCACGCAACATTATCTAGATCAAAACAAAACGGGAATTCTGTGCCTGGAAAACTCAGCAGGAAATGGGGATCACCTCCCGCTATAAAAAAAATATTTACCAAGTATATAAACTTTGATCAATGTTACATTTGTTATCATCTGCTTGGCTTTTTTTAAGTCACATACATGTAGAGCTGGGATACTTTTACTCAAAACATACTGTACTTCTAATTTACGATATAAGGCTTAATTTAGACACTTGAAATAGTAATTAAATGTAGAATTTTACCTTGTATCTTTGTCACTTCTTTTTGTTGACGCATTTCGTCGGACAAATACATTTCAAGTACATCTGTACCGAACAGTAGATTGGTAATTAAGGTCGACATTTACATAGAATTAGTAAAACTATATTGCTAGCTGCCTCTCATATCAAAATTGAAGTCACATTTCCCAGTTTTTAAGGTCAAGATCTAGTTAACTGGAGGATGCCTACAGATTTCTCAAACTTGAGAAATTCGAGTTCTTTTAGTGATCCTTTACAAATATAGCTTGGTAAAATAGAGTGTATCGGGACATAATTTTTGGAAAACTCAACAAAGAAACATGTTTTAAACTGCCAGTTTCAATGAAAAATGAAGAATGTCTGGTGTAAATATGGGAGTTTTCTTTCCATCTCATAAAAAGGAAGTGTATCAATATTGCTAAAGTCTATCAGAAAACAGTTTTCTTCTTGACCTCTTCTTTAAAATAATGTTAAATTGAATGTAGGTATCGGGATTATTTTTGACATGATTTCAAATTGAATTCCATAAAAATGATTTTTTTTTTTTTTTAATTTTATTTTTATTTTTATTTATTTATTTATTTATTTATTTATTTATTTATTTATTTATTTATTTATTTATTATTATTATTTTTTTTTTTTACATAATTCTATTATAATTAACCGTAAAGTACTCGAAAATTCAGTTTAAATCAATTATGACGTCATAATGGATCTAGCACCAAAAAGACAGTCTAAACTCATTTACTAGATCTTGACCTTAACCAAAATAAGAAATTAGTTTTCATTTGTCGATAAATACAATTATTCCTTTTCAGTTAGAATGAGAGTTACACCTAAATACAGTCTCAATTGTTTGCACAAAGATTTCTTATCAATCATAATTTGAAAATATATATACTATCATGCATTAGTTAAAAATTAAAATGGTTAAAAACTACCCTCTGACGTTTCATGATTTAATTGAAGTAGATTGTCTTCTGTAACAGGTAGCTGTACGTCTGAGAACGGCGTTACCAATCCATACTGTAAAATATTGCGTGTACTTGCTTAAAACCTTTCATTTTATGAGTATCGAAACATACCGAAATTATCGTAATTACGGTATAATATAAAACTCTTCTTTTCTGAAATGCATATCATATAAACAATAGAATTAAGTACCTTTAAAGACATGAATAAAATCTTGTTCATGAGAAGTTCGACTGCATTTGAGTCTAACTTTCCTTCATTTATTTCATGAATCATTTCAAGAATTTTCTTGTGGATCCATGTATTCTCCACAAATTCTCGAAAATTGGCGGGTAAACAAACGTGTTCAGTTGGACAAATCTTTTCGTCGGATTTCAAAACGATATATGTATGAGTTTTGGTAATGTTGTCAAGTTCGACCTCATTTGCCACGAAGTCTACATCCGGGGTATTACTGGAGTTTTCTGCATGCTGAACTATCAAACCAGCTACTGAAATCTCTGTTCCATTCAAATAATTTGGAAAAAATAGTGGTGACGTCCATGCTTCCTTAAAAAATGGGTAGTGAAAAGATACGTTTTTCAGCAAAGTGGAAGGGATGTCTTTAAAGAGATCTGTGATGTCTTTTATGGCCTCCTCGTTGTCATTCACTTGTCTGGATTCGCCGTTATTTTGCCGAGATAATTGCTGGAGGAACTCAGTGTCTGCGTCCTTGCCGAATGCCAAGCTATATATTGGTATATCATAAATGTTAGCGACTTTTATTTCAATTAGAGCTTTGTTTTTGATTCCAAAGATTGCCCCATCCGTCAGGAAGAATATCATCTTGGATCCGAACCCCGTGTTTTGATCGGCATTTAGAAAATATAAACCATGTAGAAGAGCTGACTTGATATTTGTACCTGCAACAAAAAAGATGATTTCTGTAGAAATGTGAACAAAAAACATAATTTTTTTTCATTGAAACATTTTTATTTCAATATATTTCTATCCACCTGATTTACTGCACGTGTACTTAAATTGGCGTATTCAAAATTCAGCGCTATCACTGGGTATGGAGTTATTGGCGAAATCATGAATTAGCGCTATACATGTCCATGACGTATTTTTTATGATTTCTTAGCGGTATTCATGAATTAGCGCATCGTTGTCTGCGCCAAAGCCGCTAAAATATGAAGCCCGCTTTTATAAGTACACATACAGTATATTTAAAAAATTGATCTGCCATGATTACACTTTTTTGTTCTCTGGTAAAGAATATGCGTATAGTTTCTCAAAAAAAAAAAAAAACGAATAACGAGGTTAATTCTAACGTTTCACCGCTTTTAAACATGCACAATTATACGTATCTGATACGTACCGCCATTTGCCGTCAGATTGTCAATATATTCCATCGCTAAATCAATATTTTCGAACGACGCATTAACTAGTTCCATATACATAAACTCAACCTCAGCTTCAAACATTATAATACCAAATTCATCTGTTTCTTTCAGATCATTTAATATTTTGTGCATTGCCATTTTTAATTTATGAAGGCGGTGCGCCATTGATCCACTCTTATCCAAAATAAAAAGTATTGACTTCGGAATTTCACTCTCTAGTATTGGTGCGAAAAAATGGACAAAGTAATCCCCAGAAATCTGAAAGAAAATTAATCATTCAGTATTAGTGTCATATCATTTTGAAAGAAATTCACAGAGGGACTTGATAAGATCAGAAATTAAACAAATTAAAGTAGTAAACCTAGATCTAAAAGATATAGCAAAAGACTATTTACCACGGTATCTCCAAGGTCAAACAAACGTTCAAGGTCATATTCAACTCTAAATGTCGTCTGTTGAGGCATTAATGGTTTCTTTTTATGATAACGAAGCATGAACTGTGATGGTTTCGTAGATATCGTTGAAATTGTTTCGTCAAATTCTAGGTTATAAATATATATGCAGTTTTCAACTCGCTAAATTTTATTTATGTTTATAATAAAACATTTTATAGTTTTTCGTTCAAATAAGCGATACTAAGTAGGAGGTGGTTAACTTTTCTTTTATTTATAGGATTTATCATACTAAGATCCTTCTCATTTTGACCTTTCAAACTATAAGAACCATTTCCATTTCCTGTTTTACTTTTAGGCTTTACATCGATTGATATACATAATCTGATCATAGACACCACAATATCGAAGATTCTCAGTTTCCTTCGTAGTCGAAAAACTTTTGGGCTCTGAGTAAAATCAGATAACATGTAGATACATGACTGAGGGTAGTTTTTTCACCTGTCTGATTATTCACTGAGAGGTAAGTTATGTTTCTGGTCTCCTCTATTTCAACTTGTACATCGTACTCGTCAACGTCATGTGACGTCATAATAGAAAAGGTGAGATGATATCGTCCATGTCTTCTGTGGAGAAGCTTTTGGCAAATCAGAGAAAACTGGACCTCGGTTTGTTTAGGTAGGTTTATCATAAAATCAAACGAATCAAAACTGTCTCCCGCCTGGCTAAAGCTTTAAAATACATGTACATTTGAAATATTAAAATATTTTTCAAATCATTTTTCATTCCAAATATAAAATCACTATAAAAATTAAGATGGTTAAATCAAGGGAAATGTATCAGTTACCTTTCCAATGTTCTTTGCCCTGGACCTCTAGGATATTTTGTAAAATCTTTTTGTTTTATTTGTCCGGTGTAAATTGTGCCATTCATTTCCCTGTTCAAACAAGCGAATAGAGTTTATAGAAAGATATATGTGAAAGTAAACATTATCTGTTAATCCAACATAACACAAAAATTATTCAAATTTAGACGAACTTTTAGAATTTCACCAGTCAAACTCAGATTTGTATACAATTTTATCTGGTTTCAATTGAAGTTCAAGGACGAAAATCATTGACAGTATTATACATAACTGTAAAAATGTTTTGAAAAACATTAACTCGTTGAAAGCAAAATTAAAAAAAAAATCTGTTTTATGGTCTTACAAACAATATAAATTTAAAATAACTTACATCTTGATATCTGAAAGAAATGTCTGTACAGGTAAAAAGAGGCGGATTTGTACCGTCTCAGTTCCGTTTGTTGGGTTGGTCACATGACCGGTCACAATGGACTTTGCAAATCGCAATTTTACTTCAGTGTGGACCTTAATGCTGTCGATTCTCAAGTTCTAAGAAAGTTCCAATCAGAAGCATTATGAGTATCTATAACTTTTAAAATATGTTCAATAATGCACACAATATTTGTATATAGCTTTGTGTTTACTTCTATACTACAGTATTTCATACTAACATACATGTAACATGTCTTTCAAAGTTGGATGACATAAAATATAATAATTTTGTTCTTGTAGAATTAAAGAAACATAGAATATATCATTATTTTATTATTGATGAGAATAATTAAATGCAGAATAAAATGCTATTCCAGGGTTGTCCCCCTTTTTAATTTTTTTGTTTTGTCTTCAGCTTTGTTTTATTTATTTATTTTTCTTTTGTTCAATGTAAAATACTTTAGAATGCTTTATAAGGATTGTTTAGTTGGTCTTTTTTTTTGGGGGGGGGGGTGTTTTTTTTGTCTTGTTTTATTTTGTGGTTGTTTGTTTTGTACTCGTTTTTTTGTTGGGAATAGTGTCTTTTGGTTTCTGTAATGATATCGATTTTTTAGGTATAGATGTATATTTTTCTTTTCAATACAATCGTTTATAGATTGAAGTATTCCTGATATATTGATATATCACAATTATGAGTGAAGTTAAGTAGGGATTTGGTTTTTCATTAGTAGACACGCATAATTCTAGCAAAATAAAATAAAAGATGAATTCAAAGAGAACTGGATCTTTTTATTCAACAGCTGAGATTACTTCCAGAACAAGTAGCCTAAATTACAATCTGTCAGATCAAATCGTCATGGAATAACACGCACAGATAATTACGTCATTTGTTTAGTAAATATAACAGTTGGAGGTTTCGTCTGGTAAACGTTTGATTCCAGATAGAATTATATTCGTGTGAAGTTTCAGCAGACAGATTAAATGAAAATAAATCATAATCAAGGCCGCAATGAAAAAAAAAAAGAGAATAGAAAAACATTTACCCTTTTTTAAGAAACTTCAGCGATCGGAAAAGTAATAAAACTGACACTCAAAATTTCTTCTGTAGATGACTTTGATACATGTGGAACTTGGGTTTGATTTTTGTTAAAGTTGTATCAGAAGGGTTTGAATTATCAACACCCTTTCGTATTAATCAAAAACATGTACTTGCTCAATATTTTTGTTGGGTAATTAAAACTAAATATATCAAATATACATTTAAATATGAATAACATGTAATTCTACTTGATGAAATAAAAAAAGCTGTCTCTTAATAGAATAAAAAAATAGTTTTGAATTTGTAAAATTGCATCGTCTCCTAAGTACAAGGGCACTATTTCTGAATTTGCTTAAAAATGGGGAGGGGGGACTAACAAGGTTCACACAACAGAACGTTAATGCATAAAAATATAATTTTTTTTTTTTTTTTTTTTTCAAATATATCATAGCACCTGTCTGCGGACATTTTCCTTTTCATAACAATTTTCCTACTTTTTAAAAATATCTCTTCATAACATTTAGACAATAGCAATTGTTGGATATGTGGCAAACACAATATTTTTGAGGTTTTAACAATTATTGCGTTATCTTGTAATTAGTTTAGTTCACATTTGCAATCTACTTGTAATTAATATAGATGCTTACGGGTTCCGGCGTTTCTGTTGCCAAAACATGTATTCCAAGCAAATATTCAATCCAGAAAATGCACAGAATTTTAAACAAATGAAACCATTCCATTTTCTTCCATTGAAAAAAAAGGTGACGAGAGTTGATGCTTCTTTCGCTATCACAATGTAGCAATAGTTTGCTGCAGATTTACTGCACGTTATAAGAGAAGAGCTGTTTGCACTGATCATTGCGAAAGAGCATCTTCATTTATTAATACACGGGTGCTCATTTACATACCATAAATATTTAGATAAGCTTTTGTATTCAGACCCCAAAATAAAACAAAGATGAAAATTCAAAATTTATTGTATTGTATTTAATAACAACCTCAGAATACCTGAAAGTGTAGAATCGAGAATGGTATTCAAGTGAGTTTGTAGATACTAGTAACCAATGACAAGAAATGAAAATTTGCAAGTGCCATTTAATTGAATTAAGAAGCAGTTGTCTATGGTGTCAATAAGCCTGGTCTATAATTTATATTGGGGAATGGTTGTATAATGCTGAAAAGTCATACGTCTTGATACTATTGATCTTGGTGAATTTCTGTAATTTAAAATTTTCCAGAAGATTTTTGGAGTTTTTCATTATCCAGATTTTTACATCATGCACTTCCCGAATAAATGGTAAGTATAAAATATGAATATCTGTCACTTGTTTGAACATATATTTCTAACGAAATATATGTTCAATATATATCGAAATATAAATAAGTTCAATATATATCGAAATATAAATAACAAAATAGAAGATTTGTATTTAAAATTTTGTTGCATTCTTAAAGAATGTATATAAGCTTACATTTTCTGAAATGTACCTTTTGTTAACTTTTTAATTTCAGAATTTAATCGAAATCTTCTACATGAAAAGAAGTCTCTTGGTAAGGCTTTCAATTCGAAGTTTATGCGATAGATATATCAGTAAGTTTTATCAATTCACAATATTAATTCTCATTCATACTTTTCGATACACATTGGACTCGAAATAAAAGACACCTCAGATTCTGACATCTGTTTCATATTTGGATGTTTTGCTAGAGAAATTAAGACATTGATGACATACAACGAAACTTTATGATAAACGTGATGACTTCAACTTTTCTATCGTCAACTTCCCTTATTAATATAGCAATATACATCATCACCTGCATATGGGGTTTGTCTCCCAGGTGATTCGATCCTAAGAGCATGTTCCACATACGAACAATTTTAAAATCGTGTTTGCCCTTCTCGCTTTTACTGATTAAGTCGACTTTTAAACAAGTCTTCACATTTCATTTGAAACAGTTACACAAATTTTAAAAGAAAATTGTTGCACTCGAGAAAGGTTTTTAAAGAACTCTCTCTCTCTCTCTCTCTCTCTCTCTCTGAAAAAGAGCTAATTTCATTTCGATACAAGTACAGGTATAATTAGTGGGGGCACATTACGGAACGGGTAAGGAGAAATAGTCACTGCACCTTATTATTGAGGAGTCAAAACCATAAATTAGCTTGTTTTCTAGTGTATATTTTATGCTGGCATAATTAGTTGGGGTGGGGGTTGCCGCTCCCCTAGGGTTCCACGGGCCTCAAGAGGTTAGCTTGACCTGATTGTTTCTATTGATATCCTTGAATACATTGAATCTTCAATCTGTGCTGAATTATTTTTCTCCGATTTTGTTTTTCGTTTATTTACCTTTGTTCAAGGTCTTCATTCCTAATCCTCTTATCTATCAAGGCTCTATTGTGGTTTTGAGTCTAAAGAGAATTTAATGTTTCAATGCATGTTATGAGCATCGAAATATATAGTTATCGAACATATTATTAAATACCCCAATCCTTGTTAACAACATATTACTGTAAACAATCAAAGCAAATGCAGTTTTTCTTCAAATAATAATACTCTTTAAAACCTTTGCATTTCTAGAACTGAAGAGCAAAGAAGCAGTTAATGTTTGCTGTGTTTGATAAGAAAATTAGATGATAATTTAGAACAAACTTTCTACACAAATATTGTGTCTTATGTGTATGTAATTGATGGCAAAATGGTATGAAAATCAAGTTGAATTTAAAAAAAAGGAGTTGTGATATTTCTTTAATTATGGGAAGGAGAAAAGGAAGGTTTTACATGGGATTAAAAACAAATTAATTAAAGAAAATTATACAGTATATAGTTCTAGGTATTATCAATAGTAATTCAAGATTTTTAGAATGTTTTATTCTTAGTGCGTATAACATTTGAAATATTCATTTTTGTGTAATATATAATTTGACAGTATCAAGTGGTAAACAAGTTTAAAAAATCGAATAAAGAAACACGCAGAGAAGGAGAATGAGAGAAAGGAAACACTTCCAGAAACATATTTGAAATCTGATTCAGAAAAATATACATGTTGACGATGGGTGGGTGGATCCAATTCCTAATTGGATTTGTGGCCTAAGTTTTTGAGGCTACCCACCTTTTTTGTGGGCAGGCAGTTTATTGATGCTACTATTTTTTTACATATGTGTTTACAGTAGGGGGTCTGTCATGTATTTTTTGTACATGTGTTGCATAATATCTCTAGTCCTTTGGCCCCCTATCTGTTGTTTTGTGTAGATATTTATTATCATATGTAGTATTATAGGGGGTCATGATTGTGTTCACCACCACATGTGTTATTACTATAGTTACATGTTTATGTATGACCCCCTGTGTTGTATATATCTTTTCGTCATTTACAAAATAAATGACATTATTCATTCTAATACATGTGTTCTCATTTCGCCTGCTTTGAGCAAAAAACGAGCTCAGTCTACTTGGCAAGGTTATACAAACTAAGGAACATAAACATATTTGAAATCTGATTCAGAAAAATATACATGTTGACGATTATAGTATTTTCCGAGAATACTCTCCACTGTTACTTATACTAGCTTGTACTGATTTTATAAATGGCTAAGTCATTTAGATATCTGATATACATGTACATGTACTCAAGATAATATTTCTTGATATATTAAAAGAAAATAGAAATGTGGACTCCTTCGTGATACTCTCACTACAAACTAGAAAATATTTATGCCTTTATAATCTATTTTAGGTTAAGACCAATTCAAGGGCTAGGCATGGATTCCTAAAATTTTTAATAGAAATTGACAATTTTAATGTAATAATAAATTAAAGAAAAGAAAACACATACACAAAGCAAAAGGTTTATTTTTCAATTTATTGTGGATGTTGAAAACAAAGTTTTAAATCCTAAAAACTTAAAAAATATACCAGTGTAATTCTGTTCTATAACTGTATACATGTGAGCATATATAAAAAGAATATTTCAGAAGTACAATGTTTTAATTTTTGTACATTGACTCATAACCGAAAAACAAAACACCAGGTCAAGCTGACCTCTTCAGGCTCGTGAAACTCAGGGGGAGCGGGGAGTGCACCTCCCTAATTTTGCCAGCATAAACTATACGTTAGAAAACAAACAACTTTACGGTTGTGCTCCCTCAACAACAACGTCTAATTACTATTTTGTTGTGGCCCACTTGCAAGTATACCTTTGTATTGTATTGAAATAAATTTTCTTTCAGAGAAAGAGAGAGATCCTTTCAAAACTTTTTTTTTCAAGTGGGACGCATTAAAAAAGTCTCTCACTGTTTCAAATGTAATGTTAAGACTTAATCAAAAGTCATCTTAAACTAAAGAAAGTGAAAGCAGGGCAAACAAGGATCAGTGAAAAAAGATATCTTTTTTAAAACCTTTCTTTACACATTTTCATACCTTATTTGTTGTAGAACGAATGAGGAAAATGATAGAATTGTTAATAAAGCAACGAAATAACGTAACACCCGTACAGCGCTCTACTTCGTGTAAATATACGTGTAAGCATAATGCAGCATTTCATAACAAATCTTGGAAGTACAATTTACATCACACAAGTTGACAAACTGCGTCTACAAAATACAGGTTAGCACTGAGATAACCTTTATTTACATTTTACACATAAGTTATGTTGGATAGTTACAATTAACAAAATGTGAAAGTACAAAAAAAACATGATTTACAATTTACAAACAAAGGTTTACATGTTTACATTTAAGGAATTACACAGTTAGAATTCTCATCCCTTTGGCTTTCCAAGAAGGATAATTTCAAAATTAGATTATGGAAAAGCTTCTTTTTGATGAATTCATTCCTATTCTTTATGAATGTATCTCGTTATGCATATGTAGACGTATATAAAAACAGAAGTCGGTATCCTGTGGAAAACCATGATACACATACTGTGGAATTATCAATGTTCGTGGGGGACTATTGTTTATGGATTTTTTGGATCACCCAAGAATTTAGATCACCAAGAACTAGGGATGTCAATTTTGTCAATAATTCATATTCGAATATTCAATGAAAGTATTCGAATATAAATGTATTCGAATATTCGATAAAATAAATAAAATCTGTTTTATCTTAAATATGCATCATCCTACTCTCATGAGTAGGTATATACTTATATTGGAAGTAAAATTGTATGAAGACTTTTGTAGGTGTACAATAAGAAATTTCATTTGATATTTGTCAATGTTTGAAATAAATAATTGATTTAAATGTAGAAAAGTATAATTTTAAAAATTGAAACGTGTATTTATAGTAGCTCCAACTGAGGAACCAGTCGTCTTACAAAAGGCAAGATAGTCGTAACGGTATACTGTTCAGATTTCAATACGTGTAATAAATTACAATTATCTGCCTGATAAGAGATATGATTATAATTTTTGATACAATGTAAACAAATATTTCCATAGACAATTTTCCTAGGTAATTAACTAATTCCCCGATAATGAATATAAAATTCAGGATTATCTACAACCCGAGATAATCAAGTAATTTACACATTTATTCTGAAATTAAGCCCTTTACAATATTAATTACAGATTAGTTCTATCGGACATTCATTCAATGATTAATTAATCTTATTTTGATAAGTATACTCTTCACGCCTTTTAGACATTCCTAGATTTCATTTGTTGTCCTCGATTCTAGATCCGATCTTATCTAACTAATAAAAACTATGAATGTACGTTTTGTACTATACATAAAGCATTATTGTACAATTCTTTAACACCTTACTCAAAACAAAATACATGTAATTTAGTAGATTTATAAG